CAAAGGTTCCTATTCAATGCTGTTCATTATAGTAAAATCTACAAGAGCACAATGTATAGATTGCATCCAGTTATGTTATAGTTATGAATAAACACGCATTATTAAAAACATAATTCCTGCCCTGGCTGGTGTAGCTCAGTGGACTGAGCACCGGCCTGGGAACCAAAGAGTCACTGGTTTGAGTCCTACTCAGGGCACACTGCCTGGGTTGCAGGCCAGGTCCCCAGTAGGGGGCGCGTGAGAGGTAACCAGACACTGATGTTTCTCTCCTTTCTCCTTCCTTTCCCGGTCTCTAAAAATAAGTAAATCTTAACAAAACGTGATTCCGAAACACACAGTGACACACCACGCATGGTGAGAAGCTGGAAGCCCCTTCTCTGAGGTGAGGAGCGAGGACAAGCTCCCACCCCACCTCCTCCCTGCACCAGAGCAGCGGGAGTCCCAGCAACAGCGGCCACACAGGACAGAGACGAAGGAAACAGACCAGAGAGGGAGACGGAGCGCTCGCACGGCTCACACACGGCAGGATGCCGCGGGTAGGACCGTCTGAGGACCCACGGAAACCAGCCGAGGACGTGGAAATGAGTGCGGTGAGGCCGCAGGACGCGGAGTGGACACCACGTGCGCTTCCACACAGCAGTGACGGTCCCGGGGGAGGTGTTCCCAGCCCCTTCCGCAACCGCATCACAAAGCAGAAAGCACCTGGGACAAGTGCACCCAGAGGGTGGACAGTCTGCACCCTGACGGCCGTGAGAACCGAGAAGGGAAATGAAGGGGGACACTCCATGGGGGACACGCTGAGCTCAGGGTCGGCAGGAGCAACACTGTCACACTGTCCTTGCTGCCTGAAGCCAAGCGCACACTCAGGCTGTGCCTGTCAAAACGCCGATGGCCTTCTTCTCAGAAGGACAAGGAATCCTAAAATACATTTATTTTAATCCCTTGCAGTTTATTCCTCACTGAGGCAGACATGTCAGGAAGGAGTTAGAAAGGGGAGCCTTTCTAACTGGCCTGAGCCCCTGCTCAGATTTAAGCGCCCACCCCCTCACCAACCAGTGCAGGGGACTGTGGTCTGGGTGGGAGGGGGCAGAACCTGACCTGCCTGAGAGACTGTGGGACACACAGAGGTGGGGGGTGAACCCTTGTGCGTCCCTCTCTGGGACAGCAGCCCTGAAACCAGGGGACCTCAGGTGGACCCTTTCATCACAGACTCTGTGTCAACCTGGTAGACACAGGTCCTGGCTGCTCTGTCACCTGTTCACCTGTGACACCTGCCCTTGGGGTGATTCCTACCAGCTGGGGGACGCAGGGTGGGCTGCAGAAACCAAGGGGCCCCATGCCTACTGCGCCCACTCACCCTCCTGGCACTGGGCAGGCGGCAGGCACGTGGTCTACCGGTTGCAGTGGGCCAAGGAGGACCCAGGCTCGCACGGGCTGCACTCTGCACATGCAGGAGCCTGTGAAGGTGGGCCCACAGGAGTGATAGTGGGGCCCAGGGCACAGACCACAGCTGGTCCCTGGGGCCCCTGCCTGAGGAGGTGCCACAACCCCTGGCGGCCGGTCCCCAGCACAGCACTGACCCTTAGTACAGTCTCCTTGGGACCTTCTGGACTGATTCCCGGCTCCATGTGTCCCAGGGACTGGGGAGGCTCTTCCTGACATCCTGCAGCTCCGGGAAGAGGGGTGCTGAGGTGTCACCCCTGAGCCCACGCCCACCACTACCCCTAGGCCGCTCTGCTGCTTCCAGGACAGGGCGCACGCAGGGCAGCCCAGGTCGTACAGGAACTGGTGTCCGCCCCTTATAACCAGAGTTGATTTTTATCAAATAAAGGCCGGGCTACTTAAGAGAATATCTCCGCCCATTCCCGGAAGGGGCGGTTTTGGTTTTGCAACTACTGCTACGACAGCAACGGTGCCTGTCTCCTGTCCGTGCTACTGCCCCTGGTCTGCAAGCCATGGCTCCTTCCACCCACATCCCCGCCCCCAGGCCCTGAGGTGGCAGCCAGCGCTACTCCCCACCCCCACCCGGAGCTGATCGGAAAGGGGAACAGTGTTCTGTTCCTTGCACTTTCTGTACATTCAGGGACTCCGCCCGCCAGGCTCCACGGAGGCCCCTGCAAAACGTGGACAGTTTCCAGTCCCCCAAGAAAACTGGGGACCCACCTCAGGTCCCCCCACCAGCGTGACATGTACCAGGGCGAGCACCCCACGGACCGGTCTTGGGGACGCCGTGTTAGGAACCGGGCCACAGGATCCTAACACGGACCACAACTCGGCCTTGTGGCCCCGGCCTCTCCCGTAGGGAATCTGGGGTCCCGCAGAGTGGGACGCGGGGCCGCCCCTGAGCTGGGAGAATTCTCACCCTGAGTCTCTCGGACCCCAGTGCACTGGCGCAGGCCAGAGAGCACAACGTGGCCGGCCCCGCTCAGAACTCCCACGTGGCCCGGGATGTTGTCCAGCCCCGGGAGACACCAGCTCCGCTGTCGGGGTCTGCCCTCCGCGTGCGCCCCGCACCTACCTGCGCTCGGACAAGGAGCGGCGGCAAAGTCAGGACCGGGGAGCGCAGAGACGGGAGCCAGCCCCGCTCCGGAGCAGCGGCGCAGCTGGGTGCGGAGGTTTCACTTACTCCGCGGCCCATGTGGGTCCTCTGGGCCAGCCACCGGCGGCGGGAACCGCAGACCCGACCTGGGCGGGCTGCCCTGCTCAGGGCGCCTTTTGAACAAGTCCGCCGTTAGTGGACGACGCAATTACGGCGTTTCTTCTGCTCTAGCTTCTTCCCACTGAGTCACCAGGAGCCAAGCCAGGAAAAAGAAATGTCAGAAAAAGAGCGTTACCGATGGCCGAGGGACAGATCGTCCTAAGAGAGACGAACTCCGGTACTTTCCCGACTGTTGCGCTTCCCGACCGCGCCTGGTGGGGGAGGGGGCCCTCCCCGGGTTTGAGAAAACCCGGAACGACCCGGCCAAGGCCCCGCCCTTTCCTGACGCAGCGCTCGGCCCCGCCCCCAGCACGGGCTGTCACTCACTCTCCTCCAGTGGCTCCACCTCTGAGCGCTCACCCCGCTGCCCCCGGGTTGGAATCCTTCGATTTTCGGCTGAGAAAAACAGACGAATGCACAGACGGATGAACAGAACGGCTGTGTGTGTGCGCACGGACGCACGCACACACACATGCACTGGAACCCGTCACCACAGGAAGGAGGACCCCTGCCAACGAAGCACCGTGGACCCACGGGGCGGCGGGGGCAAGGGGGACGGGGCCTCCGTGAGGCACTCACACAGAGACGAACTCCCCGGGTGTCCCCATGTCACGTGGGCCCCAATCACCACCCAACATCGTGAGACGTCCCCTCTGACCCCTCCAGGGGTTTGGTCGTGTTCAGACCTTGCAGGGAGGCCTTTGGGTCGTTGTGAGTTCATTTCTGTGTCTGCTGTGATATCAGGGCCCAACTCCTCCTGGGCCTGGGGACATCCAGGGTCCCCACCACCACATACTAAGAAGCTGTCCTTGTCATACAGCATTTGGGGCTCAGGGTCTGTGTGTCTAAAAATGTCCCCGAGTCCATGAGCAGGAGAGTGACCACCACCACGTTTGTCTGCACCTGAGTGTCACTTGGTCACACAGAGGTGGCGCCCTGGCAGGCTGAGGACAGGAGCCTGAACGAGAGAAGCCACACACACAAGGTCACCTGTCACTGGATTCCGTGTCTGCGACACATCCCTCTGCCTCTCTGAAAACTGCCCCTCGGTGCCCCCCACCCTGGCATCTTCCCTGGTTCAGCGGTGACTTTCTGTGCAACCAGGGCACAGCCCCTCGCTCACTGTGAGTGATGCCAGACTGTGTCCTTTCCAACTGTGTTACAACCTGCGCACCCCTGGCCGCCGCTCTGCTCAGTCCATGCACCAGGTGCCCGCCATCTGCTCTCCCATCACTGCCACTGCTCGGGGCCCAGGTGGGTCGAGGAAAGCTCGTGGAGGGCGGCCCCCGACAGCAGCGGCCCCAGTTTTGGGGCCCTGCACCCACAAACCAAACTAGGTTCCTGTGACGCTCTGTGCACAATGTCACTTTCCAAGGACAACACACCCAAAGTTGTCCCCACAACAAGAATGACAGAAAACACGATTTAGAATATAAATTTTACTGGGTGAAAAAAGTTATACAAACATGTAAAAATGCTATGGAAGAGAAGTTTTACCACTTCAATAAAACTAGAAATATCACATATGCTTAAACATTTAGAGAACTGGACAAAGGCCTCTAATAGCTGGCATGTGACAATAACTGTCCCCATGCCCCACCCCAGCTGACCTAGTGACAGCTAGAGTAGCCGCTGGTTTGTCTGTTGTGAACTGACTTATAAGTGTCACCCAGGTATGGCACTCCCAAGTAGAAGCCCAGAGACAACGCAGTGCCTGGGAGAACAAGGAGTGAGCTACTGGGGTCACACAGATGACCAGCCAGCCCTCCTGGCCTGTGTCCGTGAGGAGGCCACGGCTCGTGGGCCCACTGAGTACACCCAGCGGGTCCTCCCTGAGCAGCTCAGGCCCCCGGAGTCCCCTGATGGCAGCCCGTGGGCCACATGGGCCGCAGGCAGAGGGCCCCCCAGAAGAAGCTTCCCGTAGAGGCTACTTGGACATGGAGGGGCTCCGTCCCATCTGGGATCTGTGAAGGCACCCACAGAAAGGGACCTGGGGGAGGCCAGACCCCAGGATGCCGCTAAGTCACAGCCGTTGCAAAAAAGGCTGACTAGTTCGGGGGCTCTGCATCCTTACTACCTAAGATATCCTCCGCAGCCAGCTTGTTTATAATATTTTCCAGACATTCCCGCAGTTGCATCTTACAGAGGGCTGCCATGAGCCTGAACGGGGTCGCCGCCCGCCCCAGCTTGCTCTGCCAGCGCAGCAGCATCCTGTGGTGCTGCTCCGGCAGGTTCCCCGGGTTCTCGTGCTCACAAATGACGATGTCGTTCTCCTCCAGCCCCGCCAACCTCATGAACATCCTCCAGTGACTTCTGGGAACCTCCTGCCCGAATTCGAAGTAGATCCTGTTCGTGGCTGAAAAGGAAAAGCAAGAAGGGAGACTTGGCCTTGTTCCTGGAAGGCAGGTGTGGCGTGAGCTGTGTGCTGTGAGCGTCCAGCTGGCAACCAGGACCCAGGGCAGGGAGAAGCTATGGGCGCCCAGGTTGCCCTCACAGGAGGGACCAGGCTCGGGGACAGGAGAACGCAGTAGGACGTGACCTGGCCGGGCTCCTGACGGGCCCGACGCTCTTTCACATGGAACCAGTGAGTCTGGCAGAAGGGCCTGGGGGCCAGAGGGTGGGAAGCCCCGGGGGTGATGTGTCCTCTGAGGTGGCCCCCTCCTGTGCAGCGGGACCAGAGGGGCTGTGGGGGCAGCAGGGAGAGGTCGGTATCCTCGCTGGGCTCCCTACTGCCCCACCTTTGGATGTCACGTGGCGGGTCCCCCTAAGCTCTCAGAGGACCAGAGTATAAGCAGCACCTGGCCCGTCACCTGAGCTGCAGGAGACCTGCACTCTCCTGTCCCAGACTGCAGCGCCGCAGCCCCCGGGACTCACCAGGCCAGGGTCACCCAGGCCTTCCCACCGGACACCCACATCCCTGCTCAAACTCGTGGATTAGCAGTAACTCGGGGCCACCTGCGTCTGCCCTGATGCGGGTGGTGAGTGTTGGGCCGAGAGTCTGATGCCCACAGGACGTCCCTGAGCTTCCTGCGGGCCCAGGGTCCCGCTTCCCAGGAGGAAGGACACTGGGTCTTGACCTCATCCCTGAACGGTCACTATAAAGGAAGACTTCAGGCAACTTACCCTCAGGGGACCCGTCCTTCAAAACGTACTTTTGTTTGTATTGCTGTGAAGAGAAGGGAATAAAATTGTTCCGGGAAGAGACACAGGGGCAGCTTCCTGACGGGGTCCCGCGGGAACAGAGCCTCCGGAGTTGGGGTGGGTGAGGCAGGCGGGTGGGAGCAGCTGTCCATTGTCAGCGTCTGGGCATGTGGCCTGGCCTCTCAGAAGGAGCAGAGCTCACAGCCCACCTGTCCCCTGGGTCACACTCCCCCAGGACACTGCCTGGGCCGGGGAAACAGTGGGGTTCCTGCTACCTGCCCTAGAGGGCGGGACTGGAACAGGAGAAGGATGTCACCTGGGAGTGGCCTATCTGGCTGGGGACACTACTGAGGGAGAGGACGCCTGTCCGTGGAAGGCCCGTGAGAAAGCAGTTCTCCAGTTCGGGGACACCCAGTGTGCTGGGTGCCAGGCAAGCTCTGCACCCCTCTGGGGCAGTCCCCCCTGCCCTCGGGAAGGTCCTCCACCCCGGGGCTACATAGGAAGTCTGCTCATCTTCTCAAGTCCTACTCAGGTGTCATGCCCTCACCACAGCCCCACGACAGAAGGACGACACAGTTAGTCTCAGCCAGGCACGGTCTTGTGGTCACCAGGGGAAGCTCGGAGAAGTAGTCAGGGAACGCAGGGTAGCACTGTGCACCCGCCCTGCACGCACACGGCCTGTGCGCCACACACGCAGGCGTCCCTGCCCTCACGCCCACCTAGACGCCCCTCACCTGCTCCAGGGCGTGGAGGGGGGCTGCAGCCCCAGCCTGGTCCGGGCCCCCGGGGGCTGAGGGAACCGGGGTCTGCAGCGCCTGCTCCGGGGAGGCCCCGCCTCCCGTGAGCACCACCTCCTGCAGCTCCGCCCCTCCCTCAGGGTCCTCAGAGGGCGCCCTGGCTGGGCCCTGGGGTTCCAGCAGTGGTGTGTTGTCCCCGCCGGCAGCTGGCTGGCCGGGCTCTGAGTCCGTGGGCAGGGTGCCTCCCTGTGACTGAAGAGCAAAGCTGTGACTTCTGGTGGCAGGGGCCTGCACCATGGCCCTGCCCAAACACTTCTCGGGAAATGCCACCTTGTGTGACAGGTCGGCCGGGGCCGTGTGGCAGCAGGGAAAGTACTTAGTGGGGTCAGGTGCAGGCTCCGCCCCCAACTCCGAGGAGCTTCCCACACAGCGGGGCTGTGGTTGGACCCAGCAAGACAGGTCTGCACCCGGATCCCTGGGACCTGGGAATGCGGCTTTTGCAGACTAGGGAGCCGTACTGGACGAGACTGGGCCCTGCGTTCAGTGCCCACCAAGGGTCATCAGGAGACAGACCCACAGGGAAGAGGTCGGTGCTGACCGATGGGTGCCCACGCCAAGGGGCACCCAGGACAGCTGGCCACCCGAGACGAGGTGAGTGCCAAGACGGGTAGGACCTGCCCCAGGGCCTCGGAGGAAGCCAGCCCCCCGCCCCCCCCCCACCGAACACCTGGATCAGACTTCCAGCCTCCACATCCGGGAGACCGTCAGTTCCGTGTCTTTTACCCCCAGTTGGGGAGCATGTTTCTGCAGCCCTGGGAAACCATACCAGCCCTGTGCCCTGTGCAGCCCTGTGTGTGCCCCGTGGTCTAGACCAGCAGAGCAGGGTCTTGCAGAGCGGGGTCTTCCCCAGCACAGTCGCTCCGGGCTCCAGTGGGGGGAGCAGACGCCATCCGAAAGGCTGAGCTGTGCACACCGGGCTGGGGGCCCGGGGCCTGGTCTGGTGCCTCATGCCCACCCTGGGTGTCCCCTCTGCCCTCATGGCCTAAAGCTGCCACTGAGAAACCCCCAGGTGGTGCTTACCGGGTCACCTGCGTCCCTGGACTCGTCTGAAATCAAATGGAAGAAAAGGAAATAAACACACGGCCACGCACCACACATGGACGCCTCGCTCAGCCACGGGGCCCAAGCAGGACGGTGGCCCCGCAGAAGGTGATGCTGCTGGGGTGCCGCCACCCGCCCCGAAAGGGCCCTGTCCCGGGGCAACAGGGCACCACACTCGTGGCCGTGGCGATGCTGATGTGAACCAAGGTGCCGCGTGGCAGTCGTGTGGAAACGTGACCAGCTCAGTTCTGGGCGACGCCCCCCTTGGCGACCACGAGCCCGCGCTCCGGGGTGCATGCCCCCTGCACCGTGCTGCTCCCGTGTGCTGGTTCTGCTTCCACCCGCGTTTGGGGGCAGCAGCTGGGGTGATGCTCGCGGTGGCCGCAGGCACGTGCTCGCCACGTGGGTGACTGCGTCGCCCCCTCCAGCCTGACCCCACCGCGGGCGGGTTTAGTTGCGTGCTGTGCGGGTGGGCCGTCCGGAGCAGCAGGCTGCACCCCACAGCCCCGGTGTGTGGTGGGCCCGCCCTCCAGGTGTGCGTGCTTCCTGTGATGTCTGCTCCACACAAAATCGCCCAAGAACGCCTGTCTCGGAGGCCTGTCCCTGCTGTCATGTGGCACGTGACTATGACTGACCTTCCCTGGACAAGGACTCGTGTGAGGCCAAAGCCTGGAGATCATAACAAATAAAATGGACTCACGTTTCAACCAATGGACCAGCACGTGGGGAAGCTGCACACCTGTGAACACAGGAGGTGTGAGTGTCTGTGGGGTGCCCACCTGCCCGGGTGGCAGCGGGGCCCTGCCTGCACCCGCTGCCCGGGGACTCGTGTGCAGCCCTGCGCCGGGTTGGGGACACGCAGCGCCCGGCTCCCCGCCCTGAGCACCGGCCCAGCACAGGGGCCGTGTTAGAACGTGAGCCCGGGCGTGTTTGCGGCGAAGACACCAGGTGGACAGCCGGGCCCAGGTCCTCAGCAGAAGCCCCTGGTGTGGTGGCAGGACAGCTTCACCTCACCTGGTCTCCTGCAGCAGACGACCGTGACGGCGACGGCGATGGTGACAAGGATGATGCTCACGGGCACTGCCACAGCCCAAACGTTGGAGGATCTGGGTAGGTCCCCTGGAAGGGGCAGAGAGTGCCACAGCCTCGTCAGCATGTCCCCTTGCTTGAGGGCAGTGCCACCGGACGGAGGACAGCGTCCTGTCTCCAGGGCCCAATGCTCTCCCAGGGGCCGGAGGAGGTGACTGTCTTCCCAGAGGGGTGGCCAAGGTCCTGGGGTCCCAGAGGACAGCCGTCCCGCCCAGAGCAAAGCCTGTTCAAGGTGGCCCAAGGGACAGGGCAGCATCCACACCCAGTGGGCAGCACTCAGGGGACCTGCTTTCCCCCCGGTAACATCACAGCTCCAACAGGGAGCAAGAGACACAGACACAGGGCAGCCCAGGCTCATTGGAGTGTGACATGCAGCCCCCGCTGGGACAGAAGGACACCTACGGCTCCCCAACGATGCCACTGATCTCCGCCCACTTGCCTTACTCTCCAGTTGGGCCCTAACTTCGGCTTTTTGGGGCATTAAAATGTTCTCTAGTGTCTGTGCGGTTTTGAGTCAATTTTTAGTGGAAGCCGACACCCCACGTCCGTGAGCAGCCCTGATGGCGCTGAGGAGAACGAGGCAGAGGCTCCAGCATGGCGACCGTCCCCGCCGTTCAGGGCGCGGAGCGCTCAGCCCTGTGCTGGGGATGCAGGGAGGCTCGCTGTTGCTCACGCAGTGCTGGGCCTCAGCGTGTGTGGGAGAACCGCGCCGAACCACGACCCTCCCTCACCCCGCAAAAACCCAGCTCCTGGAGCACTGGGGAAGGAAACCCAAAGGCTTCTGGCCGGTCACCTGACCCCCCTCGCGGACGTGCGCTGCTTCTGCACGGGGACTCCAACAGCGCTGACCACAGAGGACAGTGGGGACGGACGGCCCACCGGCTGAGAACAAAGGTGCCCGCCCTGGCAGGCGCAGGTCCAGAGCAGGGGCCCATGTCCTGAGCCTGCGTGCGGTCACCAGTGTTGAGGGCCCACAACGAAAACCGGAAGCTGTCCTGACGGGAACCCCAAGCCGACGGGAACCCCGAGCTGACGGGCAAACAGGCTGCAGTCCTGCACGGGCCCCACGCAAGCCCCAGGGGCCTTGGGCAGCCTGCTCACCTTTCCGCCCAGGACACAGGCCAGGGGATGCCCCAGGGGCATGCCTGAGTGCCTGCGAGGGCAGGGACCTGCCAGGGCCTCGGGGACGATGTGACAGAGACCCAGAGGCCGAGTGTGCAGGAACAGAGGCGCCCGCGGGCCTCCTGGAAACAGCTCCTCGGCCCCCCATGGTGACCCCCCCGAATGTGAGGCGGGACGGCAGTGGTGGGCAACCCTGTCTCCCCAGGGGGCAGAGCCCCACCTCAGGGGGCGAGGACGGGGAAGCCGCAGCTGGTCCCCAAGGGCTTTGTTTGTTTGCTGTAGCAGGGGACTTTGTCTTCGGCCCACTGCCCAGCTCTGTAAACGAAGTCTCGCCGGCACACAGCCAAGCACCCGGGCGCCTGCTGTCCCCGGGTTGGTGACTCCAGCGGCAGAGCCGAGGACCACAAGCATGGCCCACGAGGCCAAACCACGCACCTGTTTGCCCATCCGGAGCAGACAGGTGGCATGGGGTTCTTACCTGACTCTGGATTTCTCTTGGCACAAATGGTGTTCCGTGTGGCATTGCATGTCTCCAGGATGGGGCCATCACACCTGGGAGGACAGGGTGAAGAGACCCGAGTGTCACTTCCCTGCCCGGCCTCACTCTGGTCTCAGGATGGCCCCCAGCTCCAAGCCACCTGTGCCTGGCATTTCGCAGGTTATCTGGCCCACAGCGGTTTGGGGAGCGTGGGGCTAGGTGTTCTCTGATGTCTGGGGAAGAGCGCCCCCTGCCTGTTCCTGAACTTGGCTGTGCGTGGCTCTCGGATGGGGCCTTCTGTAGCAGTCTCTTACGGAGAGGGAGGTCAACCCCAAGATGAAGCCCACGGAGACGGGGACAGCAAGCGAGGCGAGAGGAGCCAGAGCCTTGATCTAACCAGACCTGCAGGCTGCCCTGACTTTGGACTTGTCAGGTACGAGAGCTGACAGTTCAATGAGGTCAGAGCTGTATAGATGAGCCCCCTCCCCAATGAGCCTCATAAAAGGGAGCTATTTTGCAAAAGGCGTTACCACTGCAATGTCCCCCGGAAGGGCCCCCCCATCCACGCCCACCAGGAAACTCAGAAGGAAACCGCATCAGGAAATGTGGACTTGTGGGCGAAACCACGCTACGAGGAGGTCGTACCAGAGAGGGCAGGCCTTCCTCAGAGACCCTGTCCCATAGGGAGGAGAACTGTGCACAGAGAGGTAGCAGAGCAGAGACGCCGACAGGTGCCGAAGGTGCTGGGCAGACAGGAGGAGAGGGCGCAGCCACTCGCCTACAAGTCAAGGAGCGCCGGCCACCACCCAAAGTCGCACAGGCAGGAAGCATTGTCCCCAGAGCCTTCCCAGGGGGTGTGGCCGGGTGACATCTGGATGTGGGACTTCCGGTCTCCAGAACTGCGAAAGGACCCATTTCTGTGTTGTTTAAAGCCAGCAGTGCTGATGCTCTATGACAGAGGCTGGGACAGAGGGAGTGACGGGCCATTCAGCTGTCCCGGGGCATGGTACTCACTGCTCTTCTCCATGCCCAGAGCTCCCTTCCTCCAGAACTTTCTATGGCTCCCATCTACTCTCCCTCAGGGCCTCTGCTCCAGAGTCCTGCCTACGATAGCCCCTGACGCCCTCAACCCTCAGGGAACCGTCACTGTCAGTGAGTTGCGACTGTCCCCAGCACTAGGGGGACTGAGGCCTCTAGCTCCACCTGCAGCCCTCCACATTGCCATGGGCCAGGTCACTGGGGGAGGAACAGGTTCCCCACTCGGGAGCAACTGAGCACGGGCCCAGGGTGGCCACAGGAGGAAACGGCCAGGCCATTTGTCTGACTGAACCCTCAGGGCCCGGACCTGGCAGGTGGTACCACTTCACAGATGGGAAACCCAAGGGGGCGGCTCCCTGCGTGTCCAGAGCACAGCAGTGGGCGGGGCCCCAAGGCGGCACCTGGAACAGCGGTAGCAGGTCTCCACGCAGTCCTCGGAGTCGCAGTAGAAGCTCCCCGTCTTGCACTGGCACCGCCGGTCGCTGTTCTGGGTGCAGTCGGAGACCATCTCCTGATCTGCTCGGTGGGAGGCTGGGGGTCAGTCACCAGGGGTGGGGCCCTGTCCCCTCCCACGCCGGCCACCTCCGGCCACTCAGTCGCAGGCATCGGACCTGCTCCCTCCCCTCGTTCTCGTACTCAGAGAGGACCAGGGAACGACCAGACCTCAGTCCCTGCAATCGGGGCGTCTGTGCAGGGGCTGCAGCCCACTCCACAGAAACACCCCCAGTGTGCTCCTTCCACAGTCTGTCCCCAAAGGAAAGGTGAGCGTCACTGGGTGCTCCTGCCAGGAGCCCACCCGGGAGGACAGAGCACAGAGAACCCCTCCCACTGCCACCTGCTGGCGGAGCCCTGCGGTCCCTCGGAGGGCGCCCTGTGCGAGCCCCTGGGCCCTGCAGCCTCCCTGGGGCGGACCCCTTTGTGGAGGGGGGCAGGTTTCAAAACCGCCGGCCCAAGCAGCCCAGCCTTCCCTTCCCACCCACTGAAATAGTATGACTATCCGTGAGCTAGATATGAGTCACGTGGGACCACCATGTCCACTGGAGACCAAACGGTCACCTACACGCAGAAGTCCCCGGATCCCACAGCTCCAGGTCAGTGCTTTGCCCACCAACCCCGTGCTCAGCGTGGACTGGACGGACGTGCCGTGCACACTGCTCTGGGGCGCACTCCTGTGTGGGGGCGCAGTCTCACTGCGGGGCAGAGTGCGAGGCCACGCGGGGCTTTACGCCCACTGCTCTGTCCGTGCTCAGGGGTGGCTCCTGGTGATGCCACTGCACACTGTCCCCAGCCGTCAGCACACACGGGGAAGAGGGGCCAGGTCCAGCCCAAGCTGCCAGTCGAAGTCTGGCCCTGACGCTGCACCCCCCACCCCTGCCTGAGCCCTCAATGCCCCACGACACGCGGCATGAACTCCTGGGACGGGGCTGCCATCGGGCACAGAAGGGCACAGGTCTTCCCGTGCCAGGGTGTCGGAACGCCCACTGATCTTCTGGATCCACGGAAACCCGCTTACGCCTGTTCCGGGGCGGCCGACAGGCTCCCCTGTGCGTCCTGGGTCTAAATCCCTGTGTTGTCCCCAGGGTAACAACGCTCTTCATGTCACGATGAACCTGTCACCCGTGGGCGCCTTTGAGACGGGAGTTGTCAGTTGGAACACAGCCGCACTGCCCGCCTCTCTCTGGCCGTTGGCCTTTTCACGGCCGTTGACCTTTTCACGGCCGACACGCAGAGGTTCTCACGCCCTGCGCCCACAGGCACCCTTTCTCTCTCCTGCTCGAGTCCTCCTTGCCGCTTGCGGCCCTGATGCGGCAGCAGGTGTTCAGTGGGTGGTGACACGGGGCAGTGGCACTCTCTGTCGGGCCCTGGGATGTTTCCCGGGGGGGAGAGGCAGCGATCCACCCCAGCAGCATCTGAGGGTCTGGCTGTGGGGGCGCGCTCACCAGGCCACACCCTGTGGCCCGTCTGTGGGGCGCTGTGCTCTGGCCCCGTGGCTGTGCCGTGCACCCCAGTGGGACGGCGAGCCCAGCTCCGCTCCCTGTCTGCGCAGACCCAACGGGTGGGAGAGCCAGGAGCCAGCTGGGCCTCGCGGTCATCGGCATGTCTGGGTTCACGAAAGCCCTGCTGGGGTTTCTGAAAAGGAAAAACTGCTTGTGTGGGGGAGCGCGGCAGGGCTGACCGGTGCCCCCGAAGCGGGTGGGGACGCCGACCTCTGACCCTCTCCGTGAAGAACCAGACTCTTCCTCCTTAGCTTTGTGCCCAGGGCTCCGCACACTGGGGCGTCCTTAGAGGTTTGTTCCAGAAGCACTTCGCACACCCTTTGCTAGATTCTTCTCCAAGTGCCTCATCTTTGTCCTTGCCGATGCGAACGGTGCCTTTCTTCCAAAGTCACATTTTTAAAGATGCTCTGCTGCTGGCGTGCAGAACCTGGTGCGTGTCCCTCTCTCGGACCGCGAATCCCTGGGACCTCAGGTGGGTCCTTTCACCACAGACTCCGTGTCATCGTGGCAGACACGTGTCCTGGACACCCCGTCACCCTGCTCACCTGTGACACCTGCCCTTGGGGTCATTCCTACCAGCCGGTCCAAGCGGGGTGGGCTGCAAAAACCAAGGGACCCCTGTGCCTCACTGCGCCCACTCACCATCCCGGCACTCGGCACAGGACAGGCACCTGGTCTCCCGGTTGCGGTGGGCGGTGAAGGAGCCCGGCTCGCACGGGCTGCACTCCGTGACGCGGTCCACATCGCAGTGTCTGCTGACGTAGGAGCCTGAGGGAGGGGTGGGACAGAGGAGAGGTGGGGCCAGGGCACAGACCACACCTGGTCCCTGCGGCCCCTGCCTGAGGAGGTGCCACAGCGCCTGGCGGCCGGTCCCCAGCACAGCACCGACCCTCAGTCCAGTCTCCTTGGGACCTTCTGGACTGATTCCCGGCTCCACGTGTCCCAGGGACTGGGGACCTGACTACCCTCGGCCCTTCTCGAGATGCTGCGGCTGTGGGAAGAGGGGTGCCGAGTGTGCACCCCGGAGCCCCCCAGTGCCCGGGGCTGCTCCGCAGCATCTGGGCTGGTGCCCAGGAAAGCCCTGGTCATCATCCAGAAACGGGCCTCTGCCGCGGGCGCAGACCGCGCACTGTACATGCACACGGTGCAACACGCCGAGAGCTCAGGTGGTGTCACGCTGGACCGTTGTTCGTTCCTGAATGTGGCGCGTGCAGGTGCGTGTGACTCAGGTGTGCAGGTGAGTGAGCAAGCGTGTTGGTGCACGTGTGGGGTGTATCCACAGGTGTGAGCGGTCTGGGAGTGGGGTCAGTGCCTGAGCTGGGAGCCCCATGAAGTCTCAGGATGTGGCTGAATGGAGGTGCGAGTGAGGGTGGGGGGCAGGGTCAGGGGTGATGGCGCACTGTGGGGCCGACCCCGTCAGGGAGGAGACCCTGGAAGGCAGGGTCCCGGACCACGTGCAGTCACAGGGTTGCTGATGTAGGGGCCTTGGCCTGACCAGGTCCCCCAGAGGGCCCAGGTGCCTGGTGGAGATGGGCCCCAAGGGGCGTGGTTGGAGGGTAGGCCAAGCAGGCCCTGGGGCCCGGTGGCTCCAGCTGCTGGCCAGGGGGCAGCGGTGGCCGCCTCCCCGTCCTCAGGAGTCTGCACCAGCACCTGAAGGGGCTGGGCTCGCACCCCCATGGGCTCGCACCCCACGCCTGCCCTACAGGTGCAGTGAATGTGCCTTGCCCACCTCAAAGGAAGCACAGGCGCCCTCTGGACCCTGGGAGCATGAAGAGGGTGCCGGGTCGGGGGTGGGTACCTGCCGGGGAAAGGCCCACCCACAAGGCACACCCGCAGCTCTGATCTGGGGGCTAAATGCCCCCGGCCCCGGGGTCAGGCAGCCAAGGCGTGGGGGCCCGTCCTGACACTCACCGGCCGGGCAGAAGTCGCAGCAGAGGCCATGCAGCTCATACTGGTCAGATTCACAGGGTCTCTCACGGGGCACCACGGCCACCTGTGGTGATGATGGGAAACTGGCTTCACCCACCGAGGCCTCTGCTCCCCACAGATGCCCGCGCCCTCCGAGTGGACACGTGTGAGTGGGGGTGGACGGCCATCGGCCCAGCACTGCGCCCCTCGCCTGGGGGCTTTGGTGGGGCCACAGCCAGGAGGGTGTCCTCTGTGTCAATGGGGCCAGCTGTTGTAAACGACACTTTATGGGAACGGGTGGGGGGCCAGGGTGTGCACCTAGGGGGCAGCGTCAGGCCGCAGGCAGGCCCGTGTTCTGCCTCTATTTAAAATACGTCTAAGTTTTCCAAGCCCTGGCTGGTGTAGCTCAGTGGATTGAGCGCGGGCCTGTGAACTAGACAATCGCGGTTCGATTCCCAGTCAGGGCACATACCGGGGTTGCAGGCCGGTTCCCTGCAGGCCAGTTCCCAGCAGGGGATGCATGAAAGGCAACCATACATTGATGTTTCTCTCCCTCTCTCCTTCCCTTCCCCTCTAAAGATAAATAAATGAAATCTTTAAAAAAATACGTCTAAGTTTTCCATCATGCTTCCTTTTTTTTGCATGAATTTTTCATTTAAAAATACTGCATCAAAATATCTTTATTTTGTTGAATCTACTGGGGTTACATTGGTTAATAAGGTTGTACCAGTTTCTGGTATATAGTTCTAAGTACTGCTTCCAAATACTATTTCTCTTGTCTGCTGAGTTCTCAGGGTGCCCCTGTAACTTTCACACCAGACGTGAGCACCCAGTGCACCTCCCACAGCCACTCCCTTGCAGATGACCAAGCGACCCCCACCTTCCCACCCACCGCCAACCTCGCCCCGCCTTCCCAGGGGCTCACCCAGCGGAGTCTCCCTCCTCCCCAAAAGCCCCTGTTCTCCACACACCCCCAGCCCCTCTGGCTGAGCGGTCCCTGCCAGTCCCCGCCCTCCTGTCCTAGGAGGGCCCCAAAGGCTCGCCCACCCATCCCCCAGTGCCCTGTGGGAATCGCAGCCCCTGGCACTTGTGGAGCCCTGGGAGGCCCCGCTGAGGAGGCCCCGGGGAGCCTGGAGGAAGCTGAGGACAGGAGTGACCGAGATCCTGCCACCTCCGCCGGCCGGCCCTCCCCCATGGAGTAGAGGGGTGCGTGAAGCCAGGAAGAGTCACAGGCCACCACAGCCTGCTGTGGAAAGGCACAGCGCAGGGGACCTGGCTCAGGGGTTCCAGGGGCTGCCCAGTGTGACGGACAGGACAGAGGCGTGTGCCCTGTGCCCCTGTCCGGCGGGCTGCTGGGCTGAATCCAGAAGGGGCAGCAGGTGGAGGTCAGGACAGGAAGAGGCCGGGTCTCACTGACAACACCCAGGGGCTGGGTGCGCGCCGGCCGGGCTCACTACACACAGGTGCTTGGAAGCTGCTGCCACAGGGCGGAGGCGGCTGCTGGGCTGGGGCTGGGCTGGGGCTGGGGCTGGGGCTGGGGCTGGGGCTGGGCTGGGGCTGGGCTGGGGGCAGACTGGCTTGTCAGGGCCCCTCTGCAAGGTCAGAGGGGAGAGACCTGACTGGAGCAGGACATCATCTCCGAGTTGCGGGTTGGGCCTCGTCCCATAATCCACACCCACAGCTTGAAGGTTTGATTCCCGGTTGGGGCCGGGGTTGCCGACCGGGTCCTTGGTTGGGGGCGAGGGTCACATTGTCCTTTTTCTCCCTCCCTTAGCCTCTCTCTCTCTCAAAAAAAAAAACAAAACAAAAGAAAAACAAAAAAAACTAAACCACCTACTGTGGTGGTCACCTACTGTGACCCTGTAATTGTGGAAACCGTGACACTCCAAACAGGGTAGCTGCAGGCAACCGTTTTTTCAGGTAGATGGTTAAAAACGCCCAAGCAGATTTTTTGAAAATAAAAGACACTCCTTATTAAAATAAAAATCTCCGCCCCACCTGCGGACGGTGTGGGTTTGGCTGGGGAATTCCTCCCCTTCCCCGTGAAACCAACACCCGCCAGCACCCCAAGTTCTGCCCGCAGCGCCGGACCGCCGCACCGGCAGGGAGTCCGCCCGCTGCGTCCACGGAGGCCTGGGCGGAAGGTGGACAGTCTCCATTCCCCGCGGAAAACGGGGAGCCACCTCGAGCCGCCCTGCGCCCCCGTGACCTGTACCAGGGCGCGCACCCCGGGATGCGGGGCGACGCAGCCCAGAGCACTCTGCACTCTGCACTCTGCCCGGGGAGGCGATCTCGGCCCCCGGGGCCGGGGCCCGTTACCGCCCGGGACTGGCTAGGAAGCCGGCCTCGAGCGAAGCTGGCCGGAGCTCGCCTCCTGTCCGCCCCTCGCCCATGGAGAAACCGGTCCCCGGCGCCGAAAAGGCGGAAGACCACTGCCCGAGTCCCCGGAGGCCGCCCGGCTGGCGCTCGTCCCGGCGGCCGGGACCCGGCAGGACTGGGAAGGCGGGGGTCGGGACCCCCGCCCCGGGCACGGAGTCTCCTCAGCTTCGCCGGGGGTCGCCCCCGGGGCCACAAAGCTACTCACCGCGGCCGTGAGCAGCAGGATCCGCAGCCACCAGGACATCGCGGAAAAATGGCGGACGCGCCCGGGTGGCCTGACGGGGCGGGGCCCGCGGGCATCGGGGGGCGGGCCCTGCGGCTCCGGCGGCTCTGAGCTGGTCCGCGGGGCGAACGCGTGGGCGGGGTCCCATAAGTTTAGTCGGGACGGTGACAATTGTCTTAAACTGGATTCGCGGGCAGCGTGCGCGCCCAGAGCGGGTTCCTCCCGGGTCGGGCGCGTTCCGGAGACGAGCAGTGGGTGCTTCCCTCCCTCCCCGTCTCTCTCACCCACGTTTCTCTATCTCCCTTTCTGGAGGCAATGAAAAAAGTCTTCGGGTGAGGATTAAAAAAAGAAGAAAAAAAGGTTTCCTAATTATATTTCATTGACTATGCCCTTGCCCTTGTCCTGATTTTTTCCACGTTTGCCCCCCCAAGAAATTGTCTTTACAGACGAAGGTGAGCAGGCAGCGCTGGCAGCTTCAACAGGCACTGACCGCCCCCGAGTCCTGGTGCAGGCAAGTGGGCCCTCTGGACCCCGGACAAGGTCGGGCGCAGCCGTCTGTCCAGCTGCTGGGGCTGCCCGGACTCCTTGGCCTTCTTGGAAGGCAGAGGCTTCACCCCACATCTCATTTCATCTCCCTGTCTGTGCCCGAATGTCCCCTGGACCTAAGGACACCAGCCACACTGGATTAGAGACATGCTAGTCCTCTATGACCTCATAGATTCCCTCCAGTAGAATGTTCGTTTATTCCCCTCTAGAACGTGGGAACCGCCTCAGCCAGTGTGGCCCAGTACACTGAGTGCAGGCCTGCCAACTAAAAGGGCACAGGCCCAGGTTGTGGGCTAGGTCCCTGGCTGGCGGTGTTTGAGAAGCAACTGATGGATCCATGTTTCTCTGCCCCACTGGGGTCACTTGCAAACCCAAACTTCAGTGGTCTGATTCCTGGTCAGGGCACAGGCCTGGATGGAATACTGTTTCCCTTTCTTTCTCCCTCCCCTCTCTCTAGAAATAAAATTTTTAAAAATCAAAAAAGTAAGCTGTGGCTGGTGTGGCTCAGTGCATTGAGCATGGGCCTGTGAACCAAAGGATCATGGCTCAATTCCCAGTCAGGGCACATGCCTGGGTTGCAGGCCAGTTCCCAGCAGGGGATGCACAAGAGGCAACCATACATTGATATTCCTCTCCCTCTCTTCTCCCTTCCCCTCTAAAGACAAATTAAAAAAAAAAAAAAAAGGAACAAATAGGAAGGACACAGGGACGAGAACTAAGGGGGGTGGAAATGGGAGGGAGGTGGGGAGCAAGGGGCGGGGGAGGCTGGGATGGGAAAAATAGACAAAAAACTGTACTTGAAAAATAACTAAATAAAATTAAAAAAATAAATTTAAAAAAAGTATGTAGTAAAAATTTAAACAAGATGTGATATCACTTGTGGAACAGAATTGCTTTTCAACTTTTTATCTTTAATACCGTTAAAGTTCATCCCTATTTCTCTCTCCATGTTTAAAAAAATATTTATTTATTTATTTCAGAGAAGGGAAGGAGGAAGAGAAGGAGAGAAACATCAATGTGTGGTTGCGTCTTGATCATCCCTCACTGGGGGTCTGGCCCGCAGCCCAGGCATGTGCCCTGACTGGGAATCGAACCGCAATCCTTTGGTTCACAGGCACACGCTCAATCCACTGAGCTACACCAGCCAGAGCTCTCTTTCCATGGTTTTGGAGATCTTCCCTCTTCTTATATATTAGGAGCAGCAATTTCTTCTGCATCTCTGGCATCAGTGGGCTCTCCCCACACTTCCCTTTGCTCTCTCCCAGAAATGAAATGTGACCACCGCACCGGCCAGGACCAGCCCCTCCGCCTGCCTGCACGCGAGCCTGAAGGGCTGCTCTCCCTTCCGTCTTCCAAGCCAAGAACTCGGAGCCTGGAGCCTGCCCTTAACAAGGTCCCCACCGAGCTGTCGGCCCCGATGGGTTTTCCCCATACTACTTTCAAAAGAGATTTGATGTATATACTTCTAGAGACAGGAGAAGGGAGGGAAAAGACGAGGAGAGAAACGTCCATCAGTTGCCTCTAGTGGGCGCCCTGACCTGAGATCGGACCTGCAACCCAGGCACGAGCCCTGAACAACGGCCGACCCTTCCGTTCATGGAGTGATGCCCAACCAGCTGAACCACACTGGCCAGGGCTCTGTAAACCTTTTCCATGCCAGTTTACATTTTCATAAAGCTTGTCTATTTCACCTTGGTTTCCAAGTTCACAGGCACACAGTTGTTCTCGATGTGTCCCGGTACTTTGACCATCTCTGCCGTCTGGAGCTGCCTTCTGCGTTGCTGGTGGGCCCTGTGCTTTGCTAAGCGGCAGCAGAGGCTCTGCTTCTAAATTAAATTAAAATTTCCCTGGCTGGGGTGGCACAGTGGGTTGAGCGATGGCCTGCGAACCAAAGGGTCACGGGTTCAATCCTCAGTCAGGGCACATGCCTGGGTTGTGGGCCAGGTCCCCAGCAGGGGGCGTGTGAGAGGCAACCACGTGTTGATTTTTCTCTCCCTCTCTTTCTCCCTTGCCCTCTAAATATAAATAAAATCTTTAAAAAGTAAAGTAATTTATTGAAGCCCAGTGAGCCCCCAGGAGGCCTCCCCAGTATCTGTGTCTCTTCTCCCAGCAGGATCCACAGACGCCGGCGCTGGGCTGAAGAACGTCCCCCAGATGCATGTCCCCCGAAAACTCAGAGTGTGGCTGTATTCGGAATTAGGGCCTTTGCAGATGTCATCTGGGGGAGCTGAGGTCACTTTGCAGCAGCTTGGGCCCTAAGCTCACACGACCGTGACCTCCTACACAGAGGACAGCCACACCGAGGAGGGGCCACAGAGGCCTGTGACAGGATGGTCCCCGAGCCTCTGGAGAGAGCGCAGCTCTGTGGCACCGTCATCGTGGCCTCCTGGCCTTCAGACTGTGAGAGAACACACGGCTCTAGTCATCCGCAGGAAGCTGACTGGCCTCCCTTGTCCCCCGACCCCACACAGGGGGCGCCCCAGAAGGGCTCACTGGGTGACCTGTGCCCTGTTGTGGGAGGAGGTCAGGTGCCACCTGGCTCTAGGCTGGGCCCTGCTGCTCCCTGGGGGTGGGCGGGACAGCCCCGGTGGCCTCACTGTATGCAGGGTCCCCACCTGACCCGGAGGTGCAGCCCCCCTCGGGGGGTTGTATCGGTGACTAAACTGACAGTGAAAGAGGCCTGGACAGCGTCGCCACTGCTGATCTTTTTCACTCGCTCGAAAACACCCCCTGCCTGCTCCAGGTCCGAGACAGGCCCTCAGCCAGCCTGATAATCGGGGTCGGTGGCCAAGGGCAGTGCAGGGCCCGCCTCCTCACCTGCTGCAGCCTGCGGGCCCCCCACACCCGCCAGGCTCTCCGGGATGCTGGGGGGCATCGGGGCCACAGACGCCAAGCCCAAGCTGCCCGCAGACAGGCCGTGGTCGTCTGTCCTGGGGCCCGGAGGGTCTGCCTCTCGGGTCCCGTGCGATGACTCGGAGGACACTGAGCTCTCGGGGCCCTGAAAACACGAGGAGGGTCCTGAGGGGCTTCAGCGCAGGGGCAGCCCCGCAGGACAGGGGCCCAGGAACCCAGGCTGAGGGGCCCGGCTCTGGTCTCAGCTCTGCCCTCTCTGCCAGTTCCACTGGCCTCCGTCCAGGCCCTGTGAGGCCTCTTGGGGCCTCAGTTTCCCCACTGTGAATGGAACCCTCCAGAGTCTCAGGCTCCCCCAGCTCTGGGCCCTGGGCTCATGTTTGGCCAACACTTGGGCAGCAAGGGCCCCTAGAGCTGGTGCAGCCACCTCCTCCGGTGGGGCTCCCCTGGCCAAGACGGGAGTCGGGGCCAGGACCGGCACCCGCATGCAGGCACGGACAAGAGCTGCCTGCCCCCCGGGTGGTGCTCACCAGGCTTCCTCCTCGGTCCCGGGTTCCTGTGGAGACAGGCAGCAGAGTGTGGTCACAGGAGGCTGCCAGGAGGGTCCTCTCTGTCATGGGATGGCTTGGGAGGCGAGGGACCCCTCCCCAGGCCAAGGACCCCACTGGGGAAGCTGCAGGAAGGGGCCCGGCGTCCTTCATCCCCCTCCCCCGTGTTCCAGTTCCACAACTTCTGGAACCTTCCAACAAGCCTATGTCTCTCTGCACCCAGAATACCCAGCGCCCTCTAACACAGCAGCCCCCCGGAATCATTGCCATGGACCTTCCAGACCCCCTGTGCCAGGTCAGGTGTGCCCTGCAGATGGAGCTGACACGGATTAATGAGGCCTCAGGACCCCAAATGCAGCCAGGCCCGTCCCTCAGCCCCAGGGGCTTGGGGTTCATCAGAGAAGAACCGTGATGGCTTCCAGGCTGTTCTGCTTTCTGTCACCCTGTGGGGGACCGAGGCTCAGCCTGGAGAACCAGGAAGACCCGGCCGAGGCCCCGCCCTGTCCTGACTCAACGCCCGGCCCCGCCCCCAGCCCGGGCTGTCACTCACTCTCCTCCAGTGGCTCCAGGTCAGAACTCCCGCTGCTCCAGGACTGGAATCCTCCATCTTTTACCTTCTTAACGTAGGCCGTGATGTAGATGCCCAGACAAACCAGGGACAGGATTATAAAGCTCCCGATCAACGAGAGCCGGTGTCTGCTCTCTGAACACAGGAGAGACAGAAAGCGTGTCTGTCAGGTCAAAGCCGACCTCGTTTCCAGCAGCCGCGGGACCAAGTCCGGACCGACCCCATGTGTGCACATGAAGGGCGGGGAAGCCCCGGGTCGGGGCACCTGCACCCCGTGTCCACGGCACCACCGCTCACAGAGGGAGACACGGACCCCCTCAGTGAGATGCACAGAGCGGCCGCGTGTGCACACAGACACACACACGCGCACTGAAATCTGTTACCACAGGAAGGAGGACCCCTGTCATCGCAGCACCGTGCACACATGGGGGACAAGGGCTCCGTGAGGCACTCACACAGACACCCCCCAGGGGACCCCATGTCACGTGGGCCCCAAACACCACCCAATGTCGTGAGACGTCCCCTCTGACCCCTCCAGGGGTTTGGTCTTGTTCAGACCTTGCAGGGAGGCCTTTGGGTCGTTGTGAGTTCATTTCCGTGTCTGCTGTGACGTCAGGGCTCAACTCCTCCTGGGCGTGGGGACGTCCAGGGTGCCCAACACCACTTACTGAGAAGCCATCCTTCTCATAGAGGGGTCGGGGCTCAGGGTCTGTCTGATTAAAAATGTCCCCAAGTCCATGAGCAGGAGAGTGAACAGCACTACACGTGTCTGTCTGCACCTACGTCTGTGTGTCACTCAGACACACAGAGAGGTGAGGCCCTGGCAGGTCCCACTGTGACCCAGGGGCTGGGGACTTGAGCCTAAATGAGAGCAGCCGGGCACACAAGGCCACATGTCATTGGATTCCGTGTCTGTGACACGTCCTGAATGGGGGAACCCGTCCCAGAAAGTAACTCGGGTTTGCCGGGGGCTGAGGGGGAGGGGAGCGCTGCTGGACCCAGGGCTGAAGGGAACCGGGTCAGAGCTGCACTGCCCCCCCCCCCGCCCCCTGTCAGACAGTTCTCCCCGGGTTACGGGTTCTCTTCTCCACAGACAGACAGACAGACACCTGAACAAGGGCGACCCTCTCTCACCTGGGCCAGGGGGGCCGCACACGGTGTCCGCCGTGGAGTTGCACTGCTGCAGGACCACCAAACCCTCGGGACACCTGGGGGTGGGGGTGACACAGACTCACTGTTCCTGCTTCCAGGTCTCTCCAGGCCCCAGGCACCTGGTCCACACTGTCACCAACAGATGGTGTCTCCGTGGGGCGCTTCCCCAGCACACTTTTGGGGAGCACTGTGTGCTGTGATCACAGACCCCATGAGGGTCCTGGGGTCACAGGAAGCCCCCATCCCTCACCCCAGAACCAGCCCTGGTCCCACTGGGAGGACAGTTGATCTGTTTCCCCCCGGATGGATGACCATGGCCTTGTGTGTAGGCCTGGGAACTGGAGGAGAGGGGTCCGTCCTGCTTCTAACAAAGGTTCGGGAGGCGGCTGGTCCTGCCTCACTGTTGCCGGCTGAGAGCTCGCTGTTCAGTGCAGGGCGTTCTGACGTCCTGGGCAGGTTCACTCACACCCGGGGGCGCGAGTCACTCACCAAGGACCTCTTGTGGGTGCTCAGAGCCCCCACAGCACTGCGTACCACAGCACAGTGGCATCTGTCCAGGACTGTGAGACACCAGCCCCATGCTTCCTCCACCCCCGGGCCCCCCAACTTCTTTCTGGAGAGCTGGGGCTTATTCTCGGACCCCAAACTCCAGATCACAAAGTGAGAAACGCTGGAGACTCCTCCAGGTCCGACAGTGTGTAGGACCCAAAAGCCCGACCAGCCTGTCCCTTTGCTCTCCTGTGACCGAACACACCCTCGGAGGGGCAGACATGCAAGTCCTGGACCCCCAGACCCCGTCGTTCCCCTGGGATGATTGAGCAACTGGTCCTCCACCTGGGTGACCGAGGACACTGGTGTGGTCACCCAGGATTGTGCGCACACACACGGCCAGCAGCCGGGAGGACAGAACGAATGTTTCTGTAAGATCCAATGACCTGACGGTACCTGTTCCCAGGAGGTGACATCAGGACCCCTCCAGCAAAGCAAAGGAGGGACCCAGACAGGGGGATGCGGTGGGTGGCGCACAGGATGGGGGGAGCAGAGGCCCTGCCTGGGCTGCTGGGTGCAGACTTGAGCGGGTGCCTCAGCTGGGGACCCAGGGAGGGACACAAGCGCCAGGACTATAAGAACAGGAGGCTGAGGGGGAGCTCGGGACCCTGAGGCTGGAGGACGGTGGGTTGTGTGGGGAAGCATGGACCGGCGTCCGCAGACGGTAGGAATGAGCCCTGGCTGGTGTGGCTGAGGGCACTGAGGGCCACCTGTCGACCAAAAGATTGCTGGTTCGATTCCCTGTCAGGGCGCAGGTCTGGGTCACAGGCCAGGTCGCCAGTTTGGGGGCGCGCAAGACGCAACGGACTGATGTTCCTCTGGCAAATCGATGTTTCTCTCCCTCTCTTTTCCCACCCTTCCCCTTCCTCTGAAAGTAAATAAAATTATAAAAGGAAAGTTTAGGAAGAAGAAAATAAAGTATGGAACATGGAACGTGTGCCACTTAGGAGCGGTGTGAAAGGGAATGCAGGGCTGGGAACCCGGGGGAGACCAGGAGGAGGAGAACCGCCAGGCTGGCGTCTGCAGGGTCCCTGGGCTGGTGCGGTCTATGCTCACCTGGTCCCCAGCTCCTGAGGACCGCCCCACAGAAGCCCCGCCCACAGCCCCGTGCCCCGCCCACGGCACATGCGCGCGCACAGAGCCACCTACGTGCTGCACCGCCTGCAGAATTCCTCCTCTCCGGGGGTTTTGTAGAAACGGCCGGGTTGGCACCGGCACATCCGGTCGCTCGTGGCATTGCACTCCACCACCTCCACTTGCTCTGCAGGTCAGGAAAGCTTGCGTCAGTCCTGGGGACCCGCCTTGTCCCCGTGCACAGGGGCACCTGCTCGGGATTTGGGCTGGAGACCGTGTGGTTGGGTGGGAGTTAAGCGCCCCCCCCAGCAGGGCTCGGGTTGGTCTGAGGGTTCTTGTAAACCTGCGGGGGACACCCCTGCCACCTGGTCCCACACCTGTGTCCCCAGGGCCCGTGCCAGGAGCTGGGGCGCTGGTGCAGGAACGGGGTCACACGGACACAGTGTGAACCAGTCTCAAAATGCCGCCACCGGGGAGTTCCTTTTTGAAAAAAAAACAAAACCTCACATGCCTGACTGTGTTCTTCATCAATACTGCGTGTGTACCTCTGTGGCTACGAGAAAATAAGGGTGTTTTTCCTGTGGGGTTGGCCACTTGTAAAGCGTGTGTATGGAAACTGGGCCCATGGGAACACTGAGGCTTCCGGGGTCACGGACCCCGGAGGTGAGGTCACCATCGTCTGACTGGCAGTGAGGCAGGAGTCTAGTCCACCACAGCAGGCGGGTGGGCGGAGCCTCCCAGGTTGGGCGGGCAGGTGGGCGGAGCCTCCCCACCCTGGGCCGCAGGTGCAGGATGGGGGCGTTTTCAAAGGGAAAACGGTGACTGTCCCTCCGAGTGTGGGCTGGTGTTGGGGGTCACTGCTGGTTCCCCTGGGTGGGGGACGCACCCCTGGTGCATGTAGGAAGTGCGGGAGGTGGTGTGTTGGGGTGAAACACGGTGACATCTGCAGGTGACATTCGAGTAGTTCTTTCCCCTTCGCACACACAAAAACACACGCACACACACGCTCATCCATGCTGGCACACACACACGTACAGGTGATCAGACACCACTAATGGTCGGCGGCCTCTGTTCTATTCCTCACTTCCCTGCCCGTTGTGACGGTGTTGGCAGTGAACAGTAACGAGTCCCTGACCCCCTGAGGGTGACGTGGACCCGCTGCCTCCTCGTCTGTGCCTGGGTTTCCCCACTTTTCCACATCGAGCCGACTGCCTTCCCGTTTGAATATGGCGACTGAGAACAGAAACGGGCTGAGAACGTGGAACCCGAGTGGCTCTCTGGGTCCCGTCACTCTCCTGCTGTCACACCACTTGGGGACCGACGGGTGCGCTGACGGGCATCTCCCACCACGTCTCTGCGGGGCCGTGACCTCCCTCCTTCACCCGAGGGCCCCGGCTTCCCCCCAAACGTTTCCCCACTGAATCGTGAGCATCCCTGTGGCCAAGTCCTGAGGCCTGACCTGAAGGTAGGCCACGGCAGGGTCAAGGTCAGGCAAGGCGCCTGGCGGAGACTCACCGTTGGAGCAGGTGCCACACAGCAAGCAGGACTCCAGGCCGTTGGGGGACGCCGTGAACGTGCCCCTGTCACACTTCTCACACTGGCCCCGGGTGTGGGGGCGCCTGCAGTGTTCACGGACATACTCCCCTGTGCAGGAGGGGGGCGCTGTGGTTGGACCCCTCGGGGCACACGGGGCGTCCCCGCTGTGTGGTCTGCCCACCCCGTCCTGGGGGCAGCCTCTCCAGTGGGAACAGAGAAACACTTCTGTCTGCAGTTTCGGATCAGAGTGACCTCTGGACGTCACACCTTCTCACACATGAGAAAGCACGGACTGCCCAGGGTCCCCCCTCGGCACTCCTGTCCCTGCTGGCACCCGCCCCTCCGACTGCTGTGCTGTGGGCACCACCGGGCCCCGGGCCCCCAGACTGGCAGACACTGAGGACTGGTAAGACATGCCTCCTGTCAGCAGGACTATGACGTCCCAGTGCTCCGCCTCCCAGCCAGGGCCCAGGCTCAGCCTCCGGGAGGAGAGGGGACAGGTGTGCCCTTCAGGACCCAGAGCACCTCACTGGGCCAGCAGGTTCCTGCCAGGCTCACTGGGGGCAGACAGCGCTTCCTTCTAGAAGGTGTCCCCTGTGCCGCGTCCCCCTCGTGGGTGCTGCTAACCAGCCCTCCCTCCTCACTGTCAGGAGAGGGCCCCTCCCCACGGCCCCATACACTTGCACTGCGTGGTTCCGCCTGATGGACCGTCCCAGACTCACCCGCGGGGCAGAGCTGGCAGCAGTGGCCTGTGGACCAGTACTCGTGGGGCCCGCACTGGTCAGTGGGGCCGGGGCGTCCCGGGCTCCGCTGGGAAGTCGAGAGGGTCGGGGCAGTCTCCACCAGCTGGAACTGAACGAGAATCGTTCCGGATGGCCCACCTGTCCTGGCCCCTCTGCCCGCGTCTCAGCTCAGTGAATCCCAGCGCCCCCACCTGAGGCAGGTGCTGCCTGACCACCCACCCCCCACTCGGACCAGGTCTCCTTCCCAGACCCTGACCCTCTCCCTGCAGAGCTGGGGCCCCTCCCCTCACACGCCCCACCCCCCAAGAATCCGCCCCTGCGCGCTCCCCCGTCCCCCCCCTGCATCGGAGGCGGTCAGCTCACTGGCTCCACACGTGGGGTCAGGAAGGGGGCCTTCCCCCCCACCCCGTCCCCTGGGCTGGGACGGGTCACGATGCCCAGGTTTCAGGAGCAAGAGGAGTTAGTGACAGTGACGGCAACACCAGCGAGGAGCCATCTGGGGGTGCCCAGCACAGAAGGGGACCGAGGGCTTCTTCACGTACAGAAGCCTCCTGGCCCTCCCGTTTATGCCTGCACGTTTCATTTACTGTCTTCTCTCAAGTCCCCTTTTATTTCCTTTTTCCCCGTTTACATTCTGAACCTCTCTGCACAGCACCGGTTTTGCCAGTGTGAAGGACTGTGTGTGTGTGTGGGGGGGGAGATAAGACAGGAGACAGGAAGGAGGGGGGGAAAGAGAGGAGGAGTTAGAGAAGGGAAGAGGAAAGGGAGAGAGGGGAGTGGAGAAGGGATGGAAGAGGTGAGAGGAAGGGGGAGATGGGAGAGGAGGGGAACGGTGGGAGATTATAGGAGAGGGGAAGGAAGAGGAGAGGAGGAAGGAGAGGGGAGGAGGAGATGAGGGACAAGAGGATAGAGGAGAGGACGGGATAGGGGAGAGGAGGCGGAGAAGCGAGGGGAGGAGACAGCAGCCTGTTGTCCTCCCTGCGGTGGGAGGATTCCCACCCAGAGCCGCTCCGATCGGCGCTCGGGTGATGGTGGGGGCGGGGGGCGAGGAACGCGGCTGGTCTCCCTCCAGGCTGTAGAGCTCACGCTGCATCCAAGACTTGGTCTTGCCCGGGGCGGCCGAGCTGCGCTGTCCGGGTCCGCCCTCCCCCGAGCCCCCGCCACACCCACCTGCTCCCGGAGCAGCAGCGGCAGCAGCAGCGACTGCGACAGCGACAAGAGAGCAGACGCCAAGGCCATGTGTCGCCGGGCTGTGCAGCCAGCGGGACCGAGGTGTAGAACTTGGAAAATTCACGCTTCTTCTGCACTGGTCCGGGATTTACAATGGGGAAAAGCCTGCTGTTCCTACAGGCCCGCTCCCTGGGAGCCCGGCGATTGGCTGGTGCCTCGGGCCTGGCCCAATCACACGTCCCACAGCCGCTTTCCCCTCCTCTTTCCCCTCCAATCATACGCCCCATGGCCGCTTTCCCCTCCTCTTTCTCATGAGAAAGGAAGTCTTTTACCATTTTAGGAGTCAGAAGAAAAAGGAAAGAGGCAGAGTTGTAATTCACTCCGCAATATGGTTGTGACACAGACCGCTGACCGATGTCTCTCCCTCTCTCTAAAATGAACATAAAATCTGTGCAAAATAAAGACAAATCCTCTTTCTAGCGCTGCAAAAAGTTTTCGTTTCAAGAGGAGGTCTTTTCATTATCAGTAAAATCAAATGTTCAAACTAAATGTTACATGAGCATCATTCAACAGCCCACAAAATCGGAGACCAGCGCTGACACAGCTCTCCACGTGCAGACGGGTTTCTCCGCAAGCCGCACATTCACGGACCCACCGAGTTACCACTTCTGAGCCAATACGCAGGTCTAAAAACTTCGTTCAAAGTTCCAGAACTTGTCAACCTGCCGCTGACACCCACCGAGAATCATGTTTCCATTCACTTCGCGTTTCAAGGCCCCGCACGGGGACCCGGGCTCGGGGTCCGCCGCGCTCAGGCCCTGCCAGGGGCCCTGTCCCTCCCCCCACGCCCGCCCCCACGGGTCCGGAGACAGCGCGCCACCGGCGCTCGGCCCCTCCGGGGCTCGGGGTCTTCCCTCTCCGGAGTCAGCGCCCTGCCCCCTCTGCGCCCGCGGAGCGGCCGCGGCCAGGAAGGGACAGGGTCGGGCCGGCGGGTCTGCCGGAGCCCAGCTGCCCGAGACCCGGTGCCCTGACGGGGGAGGCGCAGGGATCTGAAACCCCAGCAGGCCGGCGTGCGGCCGCGCCCAGCAAACGGGAAGCCGGGCCAGGCCTCTCCACCCACACGGTTTCCCCTCGGCCATTTCCCTACAGGCTGGCGCGGCTGCGGGGCCACGGGCTGAGCTTCGGGGTCGCTCCCCCGGCAGGAGCCCCCGGCCTCAGCAGCCCCCCAGTCGCACCGGTCGCTGCCGCGAACTGGAGGACGGGAGCGCGTCCAGACTTCCACCCTCCAGGCTTGCAGCCCGTGAGGCTCCCGGGCGCCGGGTCTCTGCACGCGCCCCCTCAGCACCGGCAAGGGAAGGGACGCGGCTCCTTCCAGCCCCGGACGAGCACAGCGCCTCCAGCCGACCCAAGACACACACCCAGCTGTCCTGGGCTCCGAGCTCAGCCAGGGGACCCGCCGCTGTCCCTCCCTCTCCGCTCAGCGCACAAGGTCTTGCGGCTTCTGGGGGGAACGACGGGGATTGTGGGGGGCAGTGGGGGCTTGGCGTGGACACGGTTCCCCCAGGGTCCTCCAGGGGAAGGGGACCCCTCCTTCCAGGGGGTGGCCAGGCACAGCCCTGGCACAGCAGTGGGGGGGCTCTACCCCCTTAATCCATGAATCCTCCGCCAAGGACCCCCACAGGGCCCACTGCCCCGGAGAGGAGGGAGCAGCAGCTGGTTGTCAGGTCCAAACAGAGCTGGCAAAGGCCACTGGAAAGTCTGCGTCCCCAGAACTGCAATGCCCCGCGGCCGGGGGTGGGGGTTCTCCACACAGCGTCCAGCCCTTCAGCCCCACAGACACCCTGAGGGCTGGACCGGTGGGAGGGGGTCCTGCATGGGGAGTGGGGTGGGAGGCCCAGCTCTGGACCCCGAGGCGTTCTGAACAATGGCCACCAGCACCTGTGATGCACCCAGTGACCCTGGCAGCCCCCTCTCTGGGCGCGTCCACCCGCCGCCCTGTCCTGTTGTGTGGGGGCAGATCTCTGCTCTCGCAGCGAGGACGGAGAGAACTGTGCAGAGGGCCCCAGGCTGCAGAACAGGGGACGGGGGCTCCTGAGTCAGCCTCCGGGGGTGGTGAGGACTGCTCTGGCTCCGAAAGGGCCCAGAGCAGCCCACCCTGAACCCACCTGCAGAAACTGCACAGCACCCACGCTCCGGCAGGGCCCACCACCCTCCGGGGAGCAGTGTGGTCTGCCCACGGCTGCCCCTGCTTGATCCTGCTGGGCTCCAGTCCCAGTCCCCTCCTGTTCTGGGGCCCAGGTATAGAGGTCTGGAGACATCTTGGGGCCCCAGGGGTCCTCTCCTGCCCTGCCCTCCCCTTTCCAGCTTGTCCCTCCTCCCTCTGCAGCGGGCTGTGGGGTCTGTGCCGGCTGCCCCACCCTCCTTCACTGGCTCCCTGGGCTGTCCCAGCAAAGGCAGGCCACCCACTCTGGCCCTGGTGACGGAACACTGGGGACGGTGGTCCCTGAGGAACCAAAGCAGGAGATGGGCCGGGGTAGCGGGGCAGGGAGAGGGCAGTCGGTGGGGGGAAGGGACCAGGCAAAATCAGCCTGGGGGCCACCCAGGCCTGGGGGTTCCCTGGAGTGTCCTGGGGGACAATACTGGTCTGTGTCCCCAGCTGGTTCACTGGACCTCTGCCTCCTGCATGGGCTTCACAGGGTGAGCCTGCTTCTCACTGCTCCCACCCTCCCCCCCCCCCGGGGGCCCCTCCATCCTCATGACCTTGGACCCCTGCCCTGGGCCCTCCAGCCCCAGACAGCCCCCTGCTGGAATGGAGTCTGTGCCCAGGAAGACGCCCCTCCTTCCCAGAACTGCCCCAAGAAGACAACAGGCAACGGGTGTGTTCTTTTATTCCAGGGAACGGGGCACAGACCTGTCCCCACACTGTTGGGGGGGGCCCAGGACATGGGCACAAAAGCCGGAAAATGCAGCATCAGCCCGGAGGGCTCGGCCACGGCAGAGTTCAGGCTCCGTGTGCACCTACACGTGTGGGAGCTCACACACGTGCACACACACACTTGGAAATTGACACAGAGCCGAGGGCAGACGGTGCCCAAGTACAGTATTGCCACGCGTTTATCCGGCAAGTGAGCGGGGGACAGCGGGGGCCCTGCCGGGACCGGGGAAAGGATCCCAGGCGGGTGCAGGGCAGCCATGCTCCACCCGCGGTGAGTGTCGCAGGCCGGCCCGGCGCCCACGCATCTGCGATCACAGGTGCCCTTCCCCCGCACTGCAGGGCTGGACTGCGGGGATGGGGCAGGTTCCTTACTTCTAACCAGGCTCCTCCCAAACAGCACTGTGGCAGACTGACTCCAGGGGCCCGTCAGGGCCATGCCAGGGTGACGGGGCAGAGTCTCAGGAGGGACAGCCTGTGGGTCAGGACCAAGGCAGCCCTGGGGACCCCTGGCTTGCCCCTCTCTCCCCTGCACCCAGCTGGGGAGCAGATGTCCAGTGCTGGGGGACCCTCCTACTCCCTGCCTGTGTCGACCCCACATGGCAGGTGGGGACTGGACCAGGAGAGAGAGGCCAGATGACCAGGGTATGCGTTGCATGACGAAGGGGCATTTGGTTTGAGCATTAAGGCCAGTGCTGGGTGAGGGCCCGTCAGAGAGGCAGCGCCTCCCCAGGAAGAGCCGGAAGCCCCAGGTCCCTCCTGTTGTCCTCCTGCTACCAGGGCCCCTCTGTCCATAGGGGCTGAGGTCACAGTGTCCCTCTGCCTCCCCGGGCTGGTTTAAAGTGCTGGGTGCCTGCGAGGGAGGGATGCAGCGGCCGAGTTCCGTGGGTGGCGGCCACCCCGCCCTGAAGGATGCTCACGTGAGGACGAGGTTCAGCAGCAGCTGGCAGGCCAGGAGTGTGCAGAGCAGGCACCAGGCCCGGGGGCTGTGCAGGGGGCCCGAGGCCGCGGCCTGCCGGGCCCTGGCTGCGGAGCTCAGCATGGCCGCAAGCTGCCTGCAAGGAGAAGGCGCAGCGGCTCAGCCAGGCCAGCGGGCACGTCCCGCCCTCCGGGGACGTGAGTGCTGGGGGCATGATCCGGAGAGGGCACCCAGGGCACAGGGGTGGCCCTGGGCTCTTGGGCACCCATTCCAGGGAGCAGGGTCAGGGGTGGGGGAGCAGAGCGCCGCCCTGGCTCTGCTGGTGAACTGTGTTCCACCTCCTGTCACCCACCAAAGTCATAGGCTGGAGCCCTGACCCCCAGAACCTCAGAATGTGACAATATTTGGAGAAAGAGCTCTGAAAGAGGTGACGAAGGGAAAATGAGGTCACTAGGTGGGTCCTGATGCTATGTGATTGGTGTCCTTATGAGAACAGAACACAGACACACACAGAGGGACGACCACGTGGGGACACAAGGGGAGGACGGCTGTCTAAACGCCCAGGACAGAGGCCTCAGGGGGAACCGGCCCCGTGACACCTGGGTCTTGGACTCCCACTTCCAGGATGGGGACCGTGAAAGTCTGTGGGGCTTTGTTATGTGGCCCCGGGACACTCACACCCTACGAGACTCGTGGGTTCACACCTTTCCCAGCACCGGCCCTGCTCTGGTCCCACTACTCTCAGTAGTGACTTTTGCTCTCCCTCTTCCAGCTGTTCCCCCACCCCCTGCATCTTCCTCCGGGAAGCCCTCCCTGACCACACAGGTGGCATTCTTCCAAGGTGCCTCCCGCAGCCTCCCGAGGGGCAGGCTGGAGCTGTGGTGAGGCCGGGCCCTCGGGACCCGACACGGGAGACTTCCAGTGGGGGGCTGGGCTTTGAGGCACACCACTGGGTTCCCAGGGCAGCCAGGAGCTAGGTACTGGGCAGAGTCCAGCCCCCTGCACCATCTTCTTTCTAGCCCAGGGACACAGGGGGAAACTGAGGCACGGGCAGCCCAAGGTCCCACAGCCAGGGAGTCAGGCCTGAGCTGGGAGCCCGGCCTTGGAGCAAAGCGGGAAGCTGTGGTTCTGTGCCCCACACTCTGGGAAGTCCGCTCACGGAAGGGCCCGTGGGGCCAGGGCGGCCCTTACCCACCATGGTCACTGAGCAGGCCTCACTCACCCCTCCCACCCGAGTGTCTGCCGTGAGGGCACTGGGTGAACCCTGAGATCAGTGAAGTCTGAGACGCCCAGGGGCGGCCGCTGGCAGCAGTGCTGGCCCTGCTCCTGCCTGGCTCTGAGTCACCGTGATCTAGGCCACTGCTCTGACTCACTGGGGGCCCCTCCCCACCCATGGCCTCTGCATCCTCCTCAGGCACCGGGCTCAGCCGCTCCCCAGGACTCCCTGCCCGCACCGCCACCGCCCGGGGCCTACCTGTGCAGCTCCTGCTGCGCCTCCCGCAGGGCCAGGGTGGCCTCGTGCAGGGCCTGCAGCCGCCGGGCCTCCTTCCCACACCGCCGGCACGGGCTCTCGCTGCCTGGGAGGACAGGCCACCAGTTGCAGGGCCAGGGACAAGGGAACATGGGGGGGGCAGGGAGGGGAGACTGGAGGAGGAGCCGGCAGGTTGGGGAGCTAGTGTGGGGGGGTCCCGGGCCGTGCCCAGCTGGAGGCCCCGCCCCGCCCCACCCCGCCCCATGGGAGCGTTCAGGGCAAAGCCAACGGTGCTGAGAGACAGGGAGAGACACCAAGGGGCATCTCAGGAGGGAGCCCAGGCTCAGCTGGCCCCTAACAAGCACTGGGAGACAGGAGTGGCCGAGTGCGGCCCATCACCACAGAGGTGGGGACCAAGTTGAAAGACACACTCGGGCCCGGGCTCGTAAGGGTAACGGAAGGAGAGGTGGGGTGGGACCAGAGGGTCACAGACAAAGGGACACTGTGCAGCCACATTCCCGCCAAGCAAGGAGGTCCCTCCCCTTTGAGCCCAGGGTTGGGGAGCCCGGCCCCCGCCGCACAGTTCCCACGTGCCCCGGGCGCAGGGAGGCCCCCCGGACGACCTCTGGGAGGACAGCCAGGCTGGGGGCGGCGGAGCTTCCTCCTGGGACTGGGCCACCTGGGGAGGGCACGTCCCTGGCCTTCCCACCCACAGAAGGGCCTGCTCAGGAGCACTCACCAGGGACAAAGTCTCCGTCACCGTCCTCATCCGAGAGCTCTGGGCAGGACTCTGGCGTGGAGCCACTGCTCTCAGTGGCCTGGCTGTGGCCGGAGGGCTGGTCGCTGGCTTTGCGAAGCCGCCGGTCTGGGCCAGGCCCCTGCGTAGAGACCGAGGCACTGGGCAGGAGCCCACCCACAGCCCGGCCTCCCTCAGAGAGCACAGCCCCTTCTGGCTGCCCTTGGAGGCCGGTGTCCGTGTGAAAGCTGTCACTTCCGCTGCCCCTTGGCCAGGCCCCGGCTCCCCTGAGCCTCAGCTGCCTCGTTGGGTGCAAGGGGGTGGGGTGCTGGCACCAGGGAGGGCGGCTCCGGGAGCAGGGCGCTGGGACCGTCCGTGGCACGGAGCCTGCACGCCGAGTCCCTGCGAGTCCAGCAGCCTCAGGCCCCACGCTGGGGAAGGCGGGGAGGGGACGAGGCATGGGGCCTGCCTGGGGGGCTGTGGGACTGTGACGGCAGGGGACAGAGAGGAGGAGGCCCCGCTGGGGGGCGTGAGGCACATCCGCAGCCGGACTGCCCCTCCCACGGCCGAGAACCTGGGCGGGGACCCCGGGGTGCTGACCTGGTGCCCAGGCCCTGGGCTGCCCTCCACGCGGGTCTGGGGGCTCGGGCTCTCTCGCTGCAGGGTGTATAGCACCCCGTCTTGCTCAAACTGGGCGATGTCCCTCAGGGGGTCCCAGGGGCTGTGCCTGGAGGCCCAGAGGATGTCCACTGTCGGGGGCGGTGCGCCTCGGGGGAAGAGGACACCCTCCCAGCCAGAGCCCCACCACAGTGACCGCTGTCCACACCCGTGTGCAGGGTCCGCACGGAGGGCCGGCCAGAGCCCCCAATATGACCGCCACCCCCATCAGTCGCTCCTTGGGGGGAGTAGGAGCCCCACATGTTTCTCAGGCCCAGGTCCCAGACAGGTCGGGGACAGTCTGCTGGCCCCTGGGTACCCCCCGGCGCCAGCACTCACTTCTCGAATCGGTAGCGCCACTCCTGGGTGGCGGAGTCCAGGTGGAACAGCCGGGGGACCCAGGGCGTGAGGCTCTGCCGGCGCTCGTGGGCCCGCTGCCGCTGCGCCTCCTCCAGTAAAACCTTCTCCTGCGTGGCCCTGTGCTGGTCACCGTCCCTAATGGCCCTGGTGACATGCTGCCAGAGCCTGCGGGCAGGCACCTCCTCTGAGCTGGGGGACCTGGGCAGCCACGCCCTCTCAGCACCGGAGGGGAGGCTTAGAGCAACCTCTACTTGGTTGTCCCTGGGGACAGGGAGCTCACTGCCTCTCAGGGCGCCTGTGTCTCCCTGCTGACCTCGCCCGCATCTCAGCTGCCACAGGGTCTACTCTGAGGTCCACCCTCCCTCCCACCCTGCCAGGGAGTCCTGGGGACTTGCTCACAGCCCAGAAGCCCTGCCCAGGACTGGCTGTGCCAGATGGGGACCCCTGGGGACAGGGGGCTGGGTGGCCTCACCTCTCCGACTCCAGTTCCTCCTGTTCCTCCAGGAGCACCGTGCGCCGCCTCAGCCGCCGCTCCTGCACCTGCCTGCTTGGGTTCCAGAAGAGCTCGGCGCTTCCCCGACCCTCCTCCTGGATAAACACTTCCCTGTCCTGCCGCAGACGGCCAGGCGGGTCAGCGGCGCTGGCCTGTGGCCCTCCCGGTGCCCGGGGCCCCAGGGGCGGCCACTCACCCAGTGTCCGGAGAGATGCGCCAGGACCTCCTCTCCTGACGTGATCCTGCCCGAGATCTGGTTCATGCTCGTGCTGCCCCCAAAGAAAGGCTGAGGGGACATGCCCGAGACAGATGCCCGTGAGCCTGGTGGCCCTCCTGCAGCCCGTGCACCCCGGTGAGCTGGGCGAGGAGGCCCCTGCCAGAGGCCCATCTTGGGGGACAAGGAGTGGGCACCCTCATGGGGTGCAGGCTCTGACCCCCAGCACCCGGGAGGCCAGCGGTCCCTGGGCGGTCCCTCCCGGCCTCCCAGGCCCACCGTGGGCCTGTCCTGACTCCGTGTGTGGCACGCAGGGACCCCCTTCACCTCTCAGTTCCCCCAGGGGGGTGCCAGGAACTGCTCCCCCAGGTGCCCGTGCTCAGGAAACCATCTCTGGGCCCAAAGAGTGCAGGAGGGGGGTCCCCAAGGCCTCACTCTGCCCCGGTTCAGGCCCCATGGCCCCAAGGCCCTCCCAGTGGCTGGAGGTGCTGTGGCCAGCGCTACCTTGAGCTTGAACTCCAGCTCGGCTCGGAAGTTGTTCTTCCGGCACTCGATGGCCACGCTGCCGCCCAGCTCCATGGTCATGGTGCCGTACAGGATTCCTGAAACACAGCAGCACAGGGGTCAGCGCTCGGGCCCTGCCGCGTCCGGACTCGGTGAGGGCACCCTGGGGACTGTGTGACCCCAGGAAGACCAGGAGGCAGAGGGGAGAGGGTGGGAGCGGCCAGGCAGAGCCGTGGGGAAGGGAGGACTCATGGGGGGAGTGGAGTCGGGGTTGAGCCCGGCTCCTCGGAGACCCTCTGCCCCAGGGAACGGGGTCTCTACCACAGCTGCTCAGGCCAGGGGACGCCCCATCCTTCACTGTGTCTCCTGCATTCGATGGTATGGGGCCTGCCCCAGGTGGGCTCCGGGGCCAGACCTAGTCCCTGCTAACAGCCACGCCTAGAACAAGGTCAGCTGATGACTGTGATGTAACTGATATGCGTACGACTGAGTCAGTGCAGGGAAGAGCCAGTCTCCCACGTCTGCCACACAAAGCCTGTCTCATCAGAGAAAGGAGGGGCCGCCCTCTCAATCACTCAGAAATGTGCGTTCATGGTGCCTCTTTCCCAAAAGGCAAAATCGAGTTAGCAAAGGGTGGCGAAGACGCCATGGCCCTTTGCGCACAGGGTGGAAAAGCCCTGGTGGGGGCCCTGTGCCGCTGGGGGTCCCCAGGGTACCCCGACCCGAGTGAGGGCACAGGGGGCTCTGAGAGAGAGGCACGACTTCTTTCGCTGCAGGCCCTTGGACAGTGTTGGCTTCGGAGTGAGGCAAGTGTCTAGAAATCAGACGTGAGTGAAAGAGAAGGACCGAAGCCGGAGCCCCCTGGGAGACCCAGCCTCGGAGGAAACGGTCCGGAGGACCGTCCTTGTCCCAGAGGGACCCACCAGGGACAGCTGCAGAAATCAAGCCACGTGCCCTTTCAGCCTCCGCCCTGCGGCGGCCAGGCTCAGGCCAGCGTTCTGAGTGACCGGGGGTCGGGGGACAGAGGGTTCAGAGGTCAGCTTGCTGGGCAGACGGAGCCCTGCGGAAGGGTACGTGTGACCTCCTGACTCGGTCGCCACCGGTTCTTTCAACCACAGGCCGAGAAGTGCCTATTCCAATCTAAAAAAAGAGACTTCTATGTTCGGCTCCATGGGAAGGTCCAGAAACAATGACAGAACCACTCTCAAGACACAGATCGGGCCCTGGCCGGGTTGGAGCATCGGGCCGCACACCAGAAGGTTATGGGTTCAATCCCCGGTCAGGGTGTGTACGGGAGGGAAATGACTGATGTTTCCTTCTTCGATGTTTTCTCTCTCTCTCTCCATTCCTGTCTTTCTAAAAGCAATAAACATATCCTCGGGTGAAGATTTAGAAAGCAAAGCAAAGGAAAAAGAAGAGGTCTCGTGTGCAGACTGTGGTCTTTTCCCCTTTACGTTGAGGTCACAAAAACAAGACCTCGAAGGTGATGGAGGTGGATGTGGGGGAGGGGACAGGGTTCCTTCCAGGACTGACAGCAGGGGCTGATGGGAACCACAAGCCCCTGGGAATGAAAAGATGTGCTTATGTTTACACACTTATACAGTCACACTACGCGCGTGCCCCAGAGACGCGGGAATCTCCAGCACGCCGAGTCCCAAGTGGGGGTGGAAGGCGGCCCCCTCCCGCCCAGCGTCCTTCCAGAGGCCTCTAGTTGGGGGTCCCAGTGAATCGGAGAACGTCCTGCAGCCCCTCCCCTGCGAGGCTGAGGGCCGGGCCGGGCCTGGGACCCAGGGTCTCTGCTTCAAGCCTCTCGCCTACCAGAAATGATCGATTTCCAGAGCTTTTTTCTTGAACTTAGACGGGAGGTGCCTGTACACCCCCCTCCGCTTGAGGAAGGGGGCCCAGTGCCTGGCTACCTACCCACCCCCCAAACACACATGGGCTGTGGCCTCCAAACCCCACTTCCTGCTGGGAGGACCCGAGACTCCCTGGGGACCAGGCTGGTCAGAGGTCTCGAGGTCCCCTGGTGTCCCACCAGAAGGACGAGGGCTGCTAATAGAGAAAAGGGCCCTGGAGCCAACCCGGCGGCTCCCGCTGGCCATAGGGGCACCGAGAGCGGGCAGGATGGAGGGACTGCGCTGAGCGACAAGGGTGCGTGTCCCGAGACACCTCCAGAAGGTGGAGAGGAAGGACGAACAGGTGACTCATCTCTTCGGGGCTGACCAGGACGGACTGCCAGGGCGGGGACGGCGACCCTGTGCATTTGTCCAAACCCACACACAGACCGCACAACACACAGGGGGCACAACACACAACAATCATTTGGAATTCTGTCCCCACCGGGAGGTTGCTGCGGAGGATGAAAGAAGATGCCTTCCAATCAGCCAGGACCAGGCGCAGCGCCCCCACCCCGCCCCCGGGGGAGGGGGCGGTGGCTGGAGGACTCTCACCTTTGCAGTGGGCATAGGGCATGGTGAGGGTGTAATCCTCCGCCCGCCTCAGGAAGGTGAGCCTGGCCTTGCCGTCCAGCAGCGCCGACAGCGAGTTCCCTGTGGAGACAGGCCGGGCGGGGGCCGGTGAGTGGGGCCCCACCCCGAAAACACAGGCTCGGAGCTTCCTGCCACAGGTGGGAGGAGACCCCGGCTGTGCCCCCGTAGGTGGATCACTCTGCCTCTCTGAGCCTCGGATTCTGGAAAAGCCCCGCCAGGTCCCTGGGGCCCTGGGTCCTCAGGAGGTGCCGCACTTGCTGCTTACTCGTCACTGAGGCAGACGCGTGGTGGGGAGGCTGCGGCCTTTCTAACTGGCCTGAGCCCTGCTTGGATTTAAGTCCCCCACCCAGTGCAGGGGCCTGTGGGTGGAGGGTCCCTGCCAAGGTGGCAGAACCCGAGCCTCCGCCACAGACTGCGGGGCACACAGAGGTGCGGGCGACCTGCCCACCAAGGAAACGGGAGGGAGGGTAACCGATGGGAAAGTGGGTTCGAACGTTCTCTGAGCACCCACAGTGCCCGGCTCCGGGGTGACACTGCCCCATGGCACCTTCTTTCTGCGATGACAGAAACCTCGTCCCGCGCCATCGGGCGTGGCAGCCACCAGCCACACGTGCTCTCTACTCTTGCGGTGCGCGGCTGTGGCGGGGGAGCTGCCCCGGGGGATTTATTTCACTTGGATCAATTCGCACACAGAGCCCAGTGGCTGGTGGTGCCCGGCGGACAGCGCAGCTCCGGACGGCGCCCTGCAGGCAGGTGCCTTCTCGGAGCCTCCCCGCGCCCTGCACGTGGATGCCGGACGGGACGGATGCCCGGGCTCTGCCTGCCTCCAGGTTCAAAGTACTTTCCTGCCCCCGCCCACAGGGTCCCTGGGGAGGAGAGGTGGGAGGGACACACACACACAGCCGCCACCCCGGGAGGCTTTGGGGACCGTGGAATCTGGAAGCCCAGTCCTCCCTGCGACTCCCCAGGCCTGGGGCGGAGCCCAGGGGAGCCCCTCACCGTAGAACCGGGACCTGGCCGTGATGCTGCCGCTGATGCAGAAGCCGTCTTTCCGGTTGCTGACGTGGAAGGCAGACACGGGCGGGTGGTGTGACACCTGTGGGCACAGCGGTGGCTCCCAGAACGGCCCCAGCGGCGAGAGCCCAGCTTCCTTACCCCCTTCCACCCCACATCCCCGACCCCTCCTGCATTCAGGGCTGCGCTTCCCAGGGAAGTGGGGTTGAGTCCTGGGGCCCGGAGCAGACTGGGGTCCGCATCAGCCCTGAGTGCCCTGGGGGCACGGCCCGCTCAGTCCAGTCTGCGCCTCTCAGAAGGGTGTGGCTGGTGGAAACCAGTCTTGGAGCACCCCAGCAGACAGAGGTGGGCCCACCAGGAATCGTGCTCCGGGGTCAGAGTCCCGGCCACTGCCCACCCCCGCCCAGCATCGCCCACAGCCCTTGCCTGCTCCGCCAGGTAGAAGGTGAGGCTGTGGGTCTGGGGGTGGAGCCAGCAGCAGCGGAAGGTCTCCCCCAGGATCGGGTTGTAGGGCTTCTTGATCCCCTGCAGGTGGCGACAAAGAGCCCGAGTGGGGACTGGAGGGGCTCCGTCACGCTGGGAGCGGCTGGACCCAGGGGCGACCCTGGGGTGCGGGTCTCCACGGGGGCCGCCTGGTTTGCCGGCAGTGTCGGGGTGCAGCACCCCTCCTGCTCTGGGGACGCCACGCTTGGCCCCGGTCTGTGTTGTGGGGAGACAGCCTACAAGGTGTCCTGTCCGCTTCTCGGTTTCCAAGGGGACCCGAGACCCTCACCAGGTCACCCTCTCCCAGGACTCTTGGCAGAACCAGGGGCTCCTACTCCCCCGGCCCTGCCCCCAGCCTTTGCCGGCCACCTCTCTGCTCCCCAAACAGCCAACGTTCGCCCCCACGGTGGGGGGAGCCTTCCCCAGGCTGGAGAGCCCTCCCCTGGGTCTCCATGTGGTCCAGCTCAGCGGCCCTGATGCCATGGGGCGTAGCCGGGCCGCACCCTTCACACCTCCCCCCCTGTCACCTCCAGCTCTCTGCCTCGCCCCGTGACGGTGGCCTGCAGAACGCCTCCCATCAGTCCCTCCTATGCCAGGCTTCCCACATCCACCTCTGAACCAGCCCCACGTCACCCCACTGTCCTGTCCCAGATAGCCTTACAGGTGCAGCCTCCTCCTCCGGGAAGTCCCCCCGAGTGCCCGCTCTGCTCCGACAGCTCATGTGCCCCGGGCTGCTAAGCGTGCCCACGCCTGGTGCTGCCAGGGTCCCTGGGGCCCATCTCTGAGGGGCCCCCAGCACAGCTGGGAGACCTGGTTCCACCCCCAATCTGCTTTGTCACTCTGGGGCTGTCCCTTGCCCTCCCCAAGCCTCAGTTTCCCCATCCGCACAGCGCATCGTGGAGCCAAAGTTGTGGCTTCAAGCTGTGTCCCAGGGCAGCCCAGGGCTCTGTGGTGGGGCTGTGCCCGGGCAGGGACGCAGGCGCCCCCCTCCCCCTCACTGCAGGAGCAGCCCGGCGCCCGCCGGAGCCTGGACTCGGCGCTCTCAAACGGGGCTCCAGGGCTGGAAGCCCCTTTGCTGCCCCACCTGTGGCAGCTGATTCCCTAAAGGCGAGGAGCACCCTTGGGGGCCCCACCAGGCGGGGGTGGGGGGCGCTGTGAAACAAGTCAGTGCCCGTACCTCACCTGGGTGCCTGGGGCCGTGTGGGGGTGAGCAGGACCCTTCGAGGCCCTGCGGGGTAGGGGACGGCCCAGGGACACGGAGCGGGGGCCAGGGGGCTCTCTCAGGGCTGCGGCCACCACGCCTCACCTTGGGCTTCTTGTAGAAGCCGGACAGGTACCACTGCAGCACCAGCTTCATGCGGCTGTAGGCGTCCTCCTCCAGCGAGGCCCTGCATGGGTGCACAGACGCACAGACGCACAGGTGCACGGGAAGCTCCCTCACTCCAGGCTGGGGTCCTGGGCCACCCTCCTCCCTGCCTCCGATGCTCCCGCCCCTGCCCAGCTCCCTCTGCGTGGGCCCCTCCCAGCCTGTGGTCCAGCTCAGGGTGCCAGCATGGGGCAGAGTGCTTGGGGTGCAGAGGGTGCTCAGGGAGGCCCCAGCCTCGCTCCCCCACTCTCCCCCTGCACCAGCCCTCCCGGGGCTGCTCTGGGAGATTGGGTCCCCTCGGAGGCTGAGTCAGCAGGGACAGTGAACTGAGCTCAGCCTTGGCTGGGGGGACCCTCCAGGAACCTGGGGACAGTGGGCAGAGCCGGGGGGGGCGCTCCCTGGGCACACACGGAGCGCCCTGGCTCACCTGGAGAGCAGGTCGGCGTGGCAGTAGTGGTCCGAGAGCTTGTCCAAGAAGGAGCGGGGCTCCAGGACAAAGGTGGGCAGCGCCACGCGGGACAGGTCCATGCCCGGCCGCAGCTGCTTCAGCAGCACCCACATCAGGCTCTTGTTTTCCTCCGACACTGTCTCCACCTGGGACGCCTCGCCGCCCTGCCGGCAGAGGGGCGGCGGTCAGGCCCCCAGCACAGAGCTGCCCGTGGGGCTGGGCATCGGGGCGGGGCGCCGGCAGGGCCTCTGGCTGGGGGGGCCAGGATGGGAGGTGGGGAGGCTGTGCCTCACCCCTGACCCCTCCCTGGCCCCGCCTGACCCCTGCCGTTTCCAGTACAGTCCCCACCTGGCCGGCCCAACTCCCTTCCTTGCCCACCTGGGCCTACCCCCCACTCTAGGAGTCCAGGGTTGAGCCTCCTCACCCTGGCTACTGAAACCCGGCTGGGGACTTGGCACACCTCTGCGCCTGTGGTGGGAAGTGTCACCCGCACAGGACAGGCGCCCTCCAGCCCACTTGACCTTCAGGACTGCTGGGTGACATGGGTGCCAAGAAGCTTCCGGCTTTCGCTTTCTTTAGGAAGAGCCCTCGGTTGTCCAGGGCCCCATGACTGGAGGCGGGGGCCGCCCCGGAACCTCCTGTGTTTCCTGAGACGCTGCCTCCCCCCGCCGCCCACCCAGCAGGGCCTCGAGAGGCCACGCGGACCTTGGGAAGGGCCACTGCGGCAGGGCCTCCTACGAGGGCTGCCCGCCAGACAGGAAGCCACAGTCGGCCGCAGTTCCTGGGCCGCCACCAAGCCCCTGCCGCCTCCTGGGCCCCCACAGCCTTCCCGCCAGCACTGCCGGGGGCCTCTGGGGCTCCAACATCTGGCCTGGGGTGCAGATGCCCCTGGCAGCGCCTCCTGAGGCCCCAGGGCCCCAGGCTGTTGGGCCAGCCCCTTCCTTCTTCCCAGACCCCCTGAGACATGCCCCTCGGTCATCCTGCTTTACAGAGGACACAAGTGACTTGTGTAGGGGGTCTGACTCAGGGCCACTGATGGCAGCTACACCCCGGGCAGCCACACAACAGTCACCACCCTGCTGGGCTGCCTTAGACAAGTCGCTTAGCCTCTCTGCTCATGCTCAGTTGTGGCTGAGGCAGGGGGTGCTCCACAGCATCCCCGGAGCCTAGGGAACAGGGAGGCCCTGGACCAAGGGCCACTCCTGACACCCGGAGGCTTTGGGTCCCTGGCCTGAATGTCCAGGCCACCTTCGGGGCTCACGAGGCAGCAGCCCCAGCTGGGAACCCCGCACCCCACCCCCGTCAGCCCCACCCTCTCCACCCCACCCACGGTGCCCTGGTGACCTCACCACCACCTGGGCGGTCGCCCTCTCTCTCCTGCTCCACCTCTCCGAGTAGCTCCCCCTGTGGCCCCCGCACCCCGCACCCCAGTTCCCTTCCACCTCCCTGGGCCCCTCGTGGAGCCTCTGCTCCGCCTCTGAAGACTGGGGCGCCCGGGCTCCATGCCCAAATGTCCAGACTGGCGTCTCCCCCTGAAGCTCCCCCCTTCGCTCTTTTCCCAGAGCACTGGTGTCAAGTCTGCTGGGGACCCGCCGCCACCTCCAGATGTGTCTTGAAGCCCCACTTCTCCCTTCTCATGGCTACGGGTCCCCGGACCTCAGTGCCTGGGCTCAACAGCCGCTCCCCTGTGGCCCCAGCTTCTGCCCGGGCCCCCAAGGCCCTCACCTGGACCCTGCAGGTCCCCATCCCACACCCCCGGGGCCTCCCCCACACCCTCAGCCCGAGCCCTCACAGCAGGGCCGGCTCCCCCTGTCCTGTTCCTGGGGGGCCTGCAGGGGCCCTGTAAACTGGCCCTGGGGGACCCCAGGTGTGGCCAGGCTGCTTCTGCGGGTGGGGACGAGGAGAGGGTGGCACAGGTCACAGGCTGCGCGGGGTCTCACCTCCCACAACTCCTCCTGGACCTCCTCCACGTAAGCGGTCCCTCGTGACGCTGGGCACCCGGGGGCCTCCGACTGGTCGCTCCCGCTCCCGTTGATCTTCCCACTGTGCTCCTCTTGGGTCTCGCTGTCTGACCCCTCCACAGCCTCCCTCTCCGACTTGTCCGAGAAAGCGTCGTTCTCCAGGGCGGACCCATTCAGTCTGGAAGGCGTCCGAGGGTCCCCAGTCACAGGTGAGACCCAGCACCCCCACCTCTGGCCAGCGCCCCCCCAGGCACCCCACACTGGGCCCAGTCCTCTGTGTAACTGGCATTTACACTATCAGCCTAGTTTATAGGCGGAGAAGCTGGGGCTCTTGGGTCCCCTGTGCAGTGAAGGAGGTTGGGGTGCCCAGGGGCACACCGCTGTGGCGTTAGACCCCCTCCCCATACACGGACACCTGCGTGTTAGTGCTAGTGAGAGCTGGGGTCCCCAGCAGCAGCCGGGACTCCGGGGAGGGGCCCACGCCGCCCGCTGCACCCCACTCACGGGAACAGGTCCTGCATGGCGGCCGAGGGCGGCAGCCCACAGAGCGAGGAGGGCGAGGCATCTGGCGAGGACCCAGGCTCCCCCCGGTCGCCGCCCTGCTTGCATGTGCTGAGGCGCAGGAGGCTGGAGCAGCGCAGGGCCAGCTCCAGGGCGTCCAGCCAGCAGCGGCCTGGGCGGGGGACGCTGTGTGAGCCACACACGGGCAGGGGTGTCCCCACTGCTCAGCTTCCGCCCGCCCCGCACCCCACCGGGAGCCCAGTCCCATCCACCTGGACAACCACCCTGTCCCAGAGTGTCCCGCCCCCACTCCATCACTGCCTGGGGGCGCCCAGGCTCCCCAGGGACCTGGACGCCTGTCCCCTGCCCTAGAGGGCATCCCTGTCCCATTCCCCGAAGCCCTACCCTCCGCACCTCTAACCTGGGGGACTCACCCTTGTCACCAAAGAGCACCCTTGTCTCCCTCCCAGGAAGCTCCCCCTATGCCCCCGCCCTTCAGGGACCCTGACCCGTGGAAGCCCAGGAACCAGCGGTCCCAACCCCCTTGTGTGCCCGCTCCCTATTTGTGCCCTGGTCCCGCCCCGCCCCCCACCGGACTTCGGGGTCCGGAGGGCATGGCTTCCCTGTCCATCCCCGGGCACACGTGGCGCCTGGTGCTGAGTGGGGGCTGGGAAAGGAGGGTGGACTTCTCACTTGGGGGCATGGATGCAGCGTCCGACCACCAGGGGGCGCCGTGCCACCAGCAGGTCTGTCGCTGGCCCTAGGCTCCCACCGGAGGGCTGCAGCCCAGTGGTCAGGCCAGGCTGCCCTGCGCGCAGGGCCCAGCCCACCCTGGGCTGCTAGTGGGGTGGGAGCCCTTCACCCCATTTCCCAAGGAGGTGCCAGGCCTTAGGGCTGGGTCGGGGTTGTGGGTGGCGAGCAGCAGCCGCCTTACAAGGAGCAGCCACTGGAGGGCGCTCCAACAACGTGCAATGCGCTGGGAAGGAGGAAACCAGGATTCCTATCCCCACTCCCTCAGTCTCTTGCTGGGATTTCCCCTGCCTCCTGGGTCAAAGGGGGATGAGCACAGTGGACTCTGTTGACCCAGTGGTTGCCTGGCACATGGTTGGGGCCCGGTAACTGTTACCTGGCTGCTTCACCTGAAGTTAGCAAACCCTCACAATGACTGGGGGACGGGTACTATTATTCACGTTCTGCCCACGGGGAGACCGAGGCCCAGAGAGGTCGGTGCTAGTGAGTGGCAGGCCTGCTGGGCTGCTTCCTGGACAGGGGCACTGCTCGGGCGGCGGGGGATGGGGGGGTGTCACTACGAATACGCGCAGAGCAGGTGGGGACTCACCATCGGACTCAGAGGCGGCCCTGAAGATCAGGTAGCTGCTGGGGAGGGGCTGTGTGATGGAGCCCACGCTCTCTCCTTTGGGGCCCTGGAGGGGCAAGAGGCCCAACGTCACCCCCAAGGACACCCGGGGACAGGCGCAAACACAGCCACTCGGGGCCACTGGGACATGCACAGGCATTTCTGGGGCCTCCCCCCGATCCAGGGTGGCCAGAGTTGGGACGAGCAAATTCAGGTGCCCAATTAAATTAGCATCTCAGAAAAATAATAGAACCTTTTTAAAAAGCTGAAGTATATTCCATGCAATGTTTGGGATACACTTGTACTAAATCATCTGTTTGGTGTCTGTCTGACGCCCAGCTTTCACTGGGCCTTCCGGATTTGATCTGGCGACCTGGCTGCAGCAGGCCCTGGGCCCGGCAGCCCCGGGGAGGAGGGCTGAGGTCGCAGCTTGAATCAGCCAGCTGCCCACGGGGCCCCACTCCTCCGCCTCCGGACAGGTGGGTCGCTGCCCCCTCGGTGCCCCTGGGCCCTGAGCTGCACCCTGTGCTCCACGCGGAGGGCCAGGGACCGGAGCCGGCTGGCGGGCCGGTGTGGCTCAGACAGCCCTCTCTCACGCCCACCGACAAGCCTCCCGACCGCCGGGCAGCGCCTGTCTCCCGCACGGCTGCCCACGGGCCTCCCCGGGCGGTACCTTCACGGCCCAGACGGACTGGTCGAGCGGGTGGAAGAGCTTGAAGCAGAAGCCGTCCTTCTTGGAGGGCCGCTCGATGAGCTCGCAGCAGTGCAGCAGGACGGTGCCCACCCACTGGCCCACCTTGGGCGTCTTGTAGATCAGCAGCACGCCCGGCTTCAGCACGCACCACAGCCTGGTCCAGCTCTTCAGGGTCCCTCGGACCTGGGGGAGGGGCAGGGGCGTCGGTGCCTGGGGGGCCGACGCCTCGGGGGCCGAGGGGGGTGCGGCTCCGGGCCGCGGGCGCGGTCTCTTTCCGTTTTTCAAAGAGGCTCATGAATTAGACTGAATCCAGGGGAGACACTGCAGCCAGGACCGGATCACTGCAGTCCACGCAGCTCAGGTTCAAGGCCCTCCCACAGCAACGAGCTGTGACGGTCGTCATCGTCATTTTGTGAACTTTGGCGTCTGTCATTTCCTCTCCCCGTCTAAACACACACTCACTTTTGCACATCATTCTCTACCCCCAGATCCGCAGAATCACACAGAAGGGGTGGCCAGGGCCCTGCAGATGACCAGCTCCTCTCACACTTGTCTGGTTGGCTGTTCATGGCCCCCCGACCCCCGGTGTATGGAGGGGGACGCCGAGGCTGGGTGGGGGCTGAGGGAACCACCTGCTGCCTCCGTGAGGACTGAACACGGGCTTGCGACGCCAGCCCTGGAAGGGACTAGACCCAGAGGCGGGGGACCGGCCCGTGCAGACGGAAACAGGGTGGAGGGAGCGGCCAAGCCCAGACCCCAGGACCCCAGGACCCCAGGACCCCAGGACCCCAGGACCCCAGGACCCCAGGACCCCAGGAACGGGGAGAGGCAGGCAGGGTCTCCCCTGTGGCCCCACTGGCACCTTAGTTCCAGATTTGGAGCTAAGTCTCGCCTGGGAGAGAACGAACTCCTCTGGTTTGAAATGCCGGCTCGCGGTCGTTTGTTGGGGCAGCCCCAGTGCGGGGGCCCGGATTTGCAGTAGCAGATCTGCTAACCGGTCCTCTGGGCGGCTGGCGACTCTGCGCGGCCCCCGCGGGGGCCTCCCGAGGGAGCCGGGCGGACACCGGACGACATGCGTGCCCGCGGCGCCTACCTTCAGGCTGTCGGCCATGATGACCACACGGGGGTCCGTCAGGGCACTGAGCAGCTGCTTCGTGGCGCGCTTCTTCTCCTGCCGGTAGTTTTCCTTCTGCACCTGTGCGGCGCCCAGCGGGTGTGTCAACAGGGAAGGTCCCGGCCACCGCACAGGCTCCTCCCATTGCTGTGGCCGCCGGGACCTCCGTCGTGGGGCCTCCGGGGTCCAGTGGGGCAGGGAGTGGAGAGGAACGGGAGGGCACGGAGGCGGCTGGGACACCGTCTGTCCCCTGTCCCTTGGTGAGCTGGGGGGGTGGCCTCACTGGCCCAGGTGCCCATTCACCCCACAAAGAACACCGGGGCCCCTCCCCAGGCCCCTGCCCACCTTGAGAGTTTCCTTCTTGGTGACCTTGGCCATCGGGGACACACAGTCCTTGTCGGACCCGTTGCAGGGCCTGCAGTCTGCCTGCAAGAGAGCCCGGTGCGGGGAGGAGGGGCGTGGGTGCAGGGCCTGGGACCCCAGAGGGCTCAGAGCCGCTGTCCCCTGCACCAGCACGTCCAAGGAGCCGAAAGCAGGGACCCTAAAAAGCAGGGAGTCGGTGGGCTAACAAAGGCGTGTGCACGCTCATTCCCGGCAGCGTGGTCCCCAATAGCCAAGACGTGGAAGTGGCTTCAATGCACACCCACTGGTGAGGAACGGACACACCACCACGCGTGGGATGAAGGGTGCACCCACGTGGGGCAGTGTTCCTCAGCCCTGGCAGGGGACCAGGTGCTGACACGCCACGACACGTGTGGGTCTCAAAACCCCGTGCTCTGTGACAGAGGCCGACACGGAGTGCCACGCCTGTCCGAGCCAGCAGGGTGTGGGGCTGGGAATCGGGGGCGGCGGAGAGTGGGGAGTGACTGCTGGTGGGAGCGGGTTTCTGTGTGGAGAACGTTCTGGAACGAGTCAGAGGCAGTGGTTGCCTTGCACTGTGGATGCAACACGTGCCACTGAACTGTACACTTAACATGGCTTAAAGTCCTTGTTTCACGCCGTCAAAACATATACACACACGCACATACACGCACACACAGACTCCTACGGGGGAGTTTTCGTCCCCCCCCACCGAGCAGCCCCAAGCGACCCGGGGGTGGACAGAGCCTCGGCCACGTTGCAGGTGCCTGTCCTGCCCGCCAGGGCGTGAGCTCGTGGCAGTGGGGACGTGGTGGTGCCCGGGACTCCACGCCCAGCGCCCCAGCCACGTGGGCCCTGCGCAGACAAGACACACAGAAGCGCCTGCTGGCCGAGAGAATGGCGTCCACAACGTGGAGCAAGCTGAGCGCGTCTCAGTCCGTTTTACGACCCTGTAGAAGGTCCTAACCACGCTGCGGGGGGTTTGATGCAATAAACTTGTATCTTAAAACACAAGGAGCTCCAGCGTCCCTCGATGGATGATGGACACGGGGCCCACCCCCACAGTGGACGGTGGCTCGACCTTAAAGGGGAAGGCATTCTGGCCCCGGCTGCAGCGTGGCTGGGCCTCGAGGACGCCGTGCTGAGCGGCTGAGCCAGATGCGCAGAAGGACAGACGCTGCATGACCCACCCTCAGGGGGCCCAGGGGGTCAGGGTCAGACACAGAGAGTGGGCGGCGGGGGTGGGGCCGGGCAGGCAGCGAGTGTGCAGTGGGGGTGGGCTGTCAGTGGGGAAGACGGGGCGTTCTGGAGACGACGGGGTGACGACCGTGCTGCACGGTGCAGAGACACGGGCCAGGTGGGAAGTTTCACGTCCTATTTTCTGCAGTTGAAATCTCCCAGAAAAGTATTAAAAATTCCACAACACACACATGTACGCACACACACATGCACACACGACACGCAGTGACACACAGACACACACACAGGTGCGGGCGCTCCCACTGCCGGCCCTGCAGCCAACTGCCCTGGGCCGGGGGTGGGACACGCAGGCTGGGTGGTGGAGCGCCCCCTGGAGGTCTGGCGGCTGCTCCCCTGAGGGGGGACACAGGGGCAGCCCATCAGAACCTCCACGGGCCCCTGTTCGCTCCTGGACATGAGCCGCCCAGCAGCCAGGCTGGCCGGAGGTCACAGGTGGCTGGGGTGGGGGGACAGCCTGGCCTCTGTGCTGCCCCCCGCCCCCGGCCAGAGCCCAGAGCCACCCCGCTCTGCCAGGGGGTGAGGGCCAGCTCCCCGGCCTAGCCCCTGGGGGAGGGGAGTGTGGGCTGGGACCCACGGCGGGGCACCTGGGCCTCCTCACCCTCCCTGCAGTGAAGGTTTGCTTAGAGGGCGGGGCTGAGTGTGTGTGTAAATATATGTGAGTGTATGTACTTGAGTGTGATTGTGTATGGATGCATGTGTGAATATGAGTGTAAATGTGTGTGAATGTATTTGGTGTGATTGTGTGTGAGTGTATGTACTTGAGTGTGGTTGTGGGCGGATGTGTGAGTGTGAACGCATGTGTGAGTGTAGGAACGTATGCGTGTGTGAGTGTGCACACACACTTCTCCAGAACCCCCGTCCCCTGCACGGGCGGACCTGGCGAGGGTGGAGGGAGGACAGGCTCGTGTCGCCCAGGGTTTCACTACGACAGACAAAGGGGCTCCTTGTACCCTGATTTTCTGTCCCCGAGTGCCACCCCGCAGCCCACACCCTGCCAGCCCACGGGGCAGCAGCCGTCCCTGGGTTCCAAGCCCGGGACTCTGAGCAGACCCCGAGCGATGGGCTGGAATGACGGGCTCGCTGGTGCCTCTGAAGCCCCTTCCTCCTGCCACTTCCCGTGGTCCCCTAGGCGGGCTCTCGGGTCTGGAATTCTCCGGTGGCCAGTTTCTTACCAGTGGCAACTTGGTGGTGGAGCCAGGGGTGGGGGGTCCTTCGTCCTGTGGTGGCGACGGGCCGTTCGGCTCCATGTCCTTGCCTGCAAGAGAGCTCTGCGGTGAGGCGCACAGCGGGCACCGGCCGCCGGGCTGGCTGCCCTGGTGTGGCGGGTGGCCTGGGTGGGGCAGGAAGCCGGTGGAGGCGGTGGCAGCTGTAGGGCACTGCCAGAGATCTAATCAACACCAGCTAGTGTGTCACCGTGTCACCGTTAAGCTGGGAGGGGTGTCTGTGCCGGGAGGGACCCAGAGCAGCTCTGGCCCAGCCTCTGCAGCCTGCAGGGAGGAGCGGAGCCGCCTCGGGGGCTGTGCCGCACGCCCGTCGTGGGTGTGTAAAGGGGACGAACGCAGGGTCCAGGCTGGGGGCACATGCAGGTGCAGGGCCCCCCGGGGCTGTGCCCAGCCCCCTCCCACACCCCGAATCCCCTTCCTCAACCCCGCTGCCCTGAGAGCCGGACCCGGGAGGGAGGTGGAGGACAGGGTCCCTGCAGGTGTCGTATCCCTCCTGGGGACGGAGGGAGGGCGGGAACCGGCTTGTCAGCTGCCCTTCCCCCGCCCTCTTCGTCACAAAGCGGGTTCCCAGAGCAAAGGTTTATGGGCGGGAGGAGGTCCCCGCTGCTGGGCTGAGAGGCGGAGGTGGGAACCCTGGGGGTGGAGCCATCCCCGTGGGCCGTGAGGACCTGCACCCTGAGAGCCGCCCGGGCCCCTGGGAAGGGGCTGAGGGGCTGGGACCAGGGAGCCGAGCGGCCAGTACAGGCGCCCGAGGAAGCGCCTCTGTCCTGCAGGCCCCAGGCTCACCTGGCGGGAAGGGCCCCAGAACAGCACTGCCTCCCACACCGCTGACCCGAAGCCCTCGCCTGACATAACAAGGGCCCTCTCCGCCTGCAAGGGGCCCTTTCCTGCCTGCGGCTTCCCCGTGGGCTGCCCGCTGGGTGGGGAGGGCTAGGGGGCCCCGAGCACCTGAGAGACAGGGGTGCCAGCTCCCCACAAGTCTGGGGACCCGTCCTCTCCCCACCCCTCCTGTGAGGGCTGGTGACAGAGAATAAATGTGGGATTCACTTCCCCCGGCGCCCAGTACCCCCACCTGCCGTGTATGTCCACGAGGCCCCCCCACCCGCAGCCTCGGTGTCCCCATGTGCCTGATGAGACTGGGCCGGGCCCAGAAGCCCCCTGAGTGCTGAGAGCCCGAGGGCCTGACACTCCAAGTCTCCCCAGAGGCCAGACGGCTACTGTGGCTGGGAAGGAGCTGTTCCCTCCCTCCTCCCTGGGGGAGAGCGACAGGGAGCCGTGGGCAGGCTGGAAGGAGGTCTCTGGGGGCAGGGGCAGCCCCTCCTCCCACCCCACCCCACCCCACGGGGGCACCGAGAAGGAAGGGCTGGGCTCTGGGGCCCACAGCACCGCCCCACTCTGCTGGGTGGGGCTTCGGAGAATGAGGTGAGGTGGCGGTGGGGTGAGCCCGTGTCCTGTGTGCTCGGCACTTCGACCACAGGCTTCAAGAAAACACCTTGGTCTGACCATCCCCTCCCAGAGCCTGGGGCTTGTTTGAGGCTAGGAGCAGGCCCCGATGTCACCTCCATTTTACAGATGAGGAAACTGAGGCCAAAGAGGTCCCCTGGCCGGGAGAGCGGGTGGGGACTCAGGCTGCCCGTCCCGGCAGCCTGAGTGTGGGGCCGCTGCAGCAGGCCCTCCCCGAGGGGGCTGGCTGACCCCAGAGCCTGGACTGGGGGCTCCGGCTGGACCCCCAAGGCCGCCTGGGCTTCACCTGGCCCTGGGTTACAGCGCTCAGCCGCCGGCGCCCGGTTGGCAGGGTGAACAAGGCAGGGGCCCTCACGGACCCAGAAGGCACAGAAGCGGGGAGGGCCTGCTGAGGTCACACAGTGGGGCTGCAGAGCCGGGAGGACAGGCCGGCCGGGCACTGACCTGGGCTGAGAGGGTACAGCTCGCTCTCTCCCCCGAGGAGCAGGTCCCGGGCACGTCTCCGGGGCTCGGCCTTCCGAGGGGTGGAGGACGGCGGGCACAGGGACAGCCGGCGGCGCAGGAAGGCCTCCTCCTTCATGGTGCGGGCGCTGGGGGGCTTCTGCGAGGAAGGGAGAAGAGTGTGGGCCCCCTCGCTACGAGATCGGGGGCAGCACTGGGGCCAGGCCGGGGCCACCTCCCCCCAGCCCGGCAAGCCAGGCTGAGCGGCAGGGGCCACCCCGTCTCACGCCCAGGCCCCCACCGCTATGTCTCAGACGGGGACCTGCAGCTCAGCAGGGGCGGCCGCCCGGGGGCCACACATCTGAGTGTGGACCTGCCAGGGACAGTGGGGGGTGCAGTGACAGCCAAGAGCCAGCACAGCCTGTCACAAGGGAGTGCCCCCTCCCGCCCCAGCCCCAGCCCGGTTCTGTAGGACCCCGGCCCCAGCCCAGTGCCCTGAGGCGGCCACTGGCCCAAACTGGACCACCAGACTTTCCTTCTCTGGCGACAGCGGAACTCCACGATGGGCAGACAGCCGTCAACACACACAGGGAGGCAGCCCAGAGAGAGGGGACACCGGCAGGTGAGCCTGGCGACCCAGGCGGGGCGGGGGGGGGGCGGGCGGAGGAGGCTGGCCCTCGTGGACCACCCAGGAGACCGGCCCCGCCCGCGCCCTCCTTCAGCCTGGTGGCCCTGCTCCCTCAGGTGCCTGAACGTGGAGGGACACAGGTGGGCTCTGAGCCGCTGCGCCCACAGAGGCGCCCACCGCTGCACTGGCTTCCTGCAGCCTCCCAGCCCTGCCCTGTAACCCCCCACCCCCTCCAGCCCTCCTGTACCACAGCAAGGGTGACCCGACATCAGAGCCCTCCCACCAGCCCTCCCACCTTGCCCGAGGCTCAGGGTCCCACCCAGGAAAGGGCAGTCCCACGACCCCAGCCCCTGCCCCCCCCCCCGTGCCCCCTAACAGCCCCATGACAGCCCCACCCCGCCCCCACCCCAGCAGACAGTCAACGGTGCCACGCCCTCCAACCTCAGCCCGCTGTGCAGAGGACACAATGGCTGTGGAGAGAAGGCCCTGCCCTGAGGTCGCAGCCTGTAGGTGTCAGGGGGCCGGCCCGGCCCCTGTCCTGCCACCCGTCCACTCCCAAGCACGTGCTGTAGGAGGGCGGACTGACCGGCTCTCCTTGGGCCCAGGGCTGCCACCAGCCACCACCCCCCACCCCCCCTGGCGGGCCCAGCCCAGGACAATGGCTGCACTTTCTCCGGGGCCCTGGGCCTTCCTGGGCGGGGCGCGCCCCTGCCCACTACCCGCTCGCCCATCCCCCACCCATCCCCCCAACACCCGCCGCCCCACCAGCTGCCTACGTTCAGTCCGTCCACCATCTACCAAGGCCCCCCCGGGACTCCGTCTAGCCGCCCCCCCGCAGCCTGCTTTGCCTCTTCACTCCCCCTCCCTTCCTACTCGCCCAGCAGACAGCAGGAGCGACACTGGAATGACCGAACTGACCCCCACGGGTTCGAATGCAGCCCAGTGTATGTGGCGAACGTCCCCTCTGTGCCCCGTCACCCCCAGACCAGGGCCCCTGCCGGCCATCGGAGGGCAGCACCTCTTGCTCGGTGACTTCAGGCTCCGCCCAGCTCTCCTGAGACGCCCACCCCTGGCTGCTGTTGGGGGCAGGTTACCTCATGGGGTAACTTTCTGGTCACTGCCAAGGTAAACCCAGGCCACCTCGCCCGGTGGCTCCCCACTGCTTCGGAGCTCAGGCCGGCCTCCGTGTCCCTCCGTTTTTGTGGGATCTCCGCCCCCCTCCACCCCCGTGCCTTCCTCCCACCTGGCACCTACCCGGCTCTCTCGCCATCTCTGCCAACCCCCCCCCCCGGGCCTGTGCTCAGACACTCCCTGCCCCCCCACGCCCTTGCCCACTTCTGCAGTGGCTGGGTCCTTCTCGAACTCCACGATTCCACACTGACTTAAATGTCACCTCCCAGGGGGTTGCCGCCCCTAGTCTCACACAGGGTGAGTTCCCCGGGGCTTTCACACTCACTGATTCTGTCAGCGCTTCCCCCTTGGAACACAGGTCCTGGGGAAGGGGGCCGCGTCTGCCTGTCTGTCTGTCTGACTGTCTGTCCCCTGCGTCTCCCAAGGCCCCGGGCTTCCTTCCTCCTTGTCTGAGGGTCGGGGAGGGTCGTCAGAGAGGTGGCCAGGGCCGGGCTGGGGGCTGACTTCCCACACCGCCCTGGTGAGGTTCCTGCGTGGCCACCCGACACCCCCACACCAGGCGCCCGGTGCCGCCGAGGAAGGCAGTACCCCACCCTCAGTGGGTTGTGGGTCCAGGTGGTGCTGGCTCGGAGCAGGGGGTGTCCGTCAGGCCTGGCCCCTGAGTTCGGGTGCTTGTTTGGGAAGGTGACAGGCTCTCCGATCCAGCGCCAAGGCCGCCTGGGCAAGAACAAGGCCCGGAGAGCAGGAAGGAAGCCCAGGCCGGCCGCATTCCAGGGGACACGCTGCTGCCCGTCCCCCGAGGCCCCTCCTGCCACCCGAACGCCCACCTTTAGGCCAGAATAAGGGGACCCTTGTAAAGAAAGGTCACCCTGCCTTAGGTCTGGGCTGCACAGTCGGACGCAGCATCTGGGGATGGAAGCCGCCTCAGTCTCTGCGGGAGGGGCTGATTTTCAGGAGGAGTCCCATCCCACCTGCGGGGCAGGGTGGGGGGACAACGACCACCACTTCCCTCCCGTCATCATCATCGTCACTGTCTCTTGGAGGTCGGGGGGACCACACGGGGCTGGGCGGAAGCAGCCAGCCCTGCGTTGGGTGGCTGGCGGGCCTCAGCCGGCCACACCTGTCTCTGGGTCCCTCTCTGTGAGTGGGGGCTTGCTCTGGGGCGGGGCTGAGGGAAGAAAGTGGGAGCCCTTCTCCAGGGCCCACAGGGGGGCAGTGTGACGGGCGGGCGCCCTGCGCGGCAGGGAAGGGGAACTCGGACTTCGAAGGCAGCAGCGGTGTGGTTCCGGCCGCCAGCACACAGCCCGGTGGGGGCAGAGGCAGGCGCACGGGCTCCGGCCACTGCTGCCCACACGCCCTCACGCACTCGGCTGCCTGGGCAGGCGGATTTGATGACTCGGGGGGAACGGCTCTGAGGCCACAGGGGGCCTCTGGGGGAGGCGGCGTGAGCTCGCCCGCTTGGTGGCCCATCTGCACACTCCTTGGAGAGGCGGGTGGGTCCCAGGGCAGGACAGCGGTCACCATGTTGATACTGCCCCGAGCGCTTGGACATGGGGGTGTCTGTTATCTTCCAGACACTTGCTCAGGCCCTAAGGCCAGTGACCACTGCCCCTCGGAGGCCACCCCTGTCCCCAGGAGCAGAACCAGCACGGGACCCAGGGACGTGCCAGGCTGCCATACCTGGGCGGACCGACCTGACCCGACCTGACCCTGTGGGAGCAGCTTCTGGGGCCGCAGACTGGGGACCTGGCTGGGGCTCGTCCAGGCCCCGGCGCTGACGACCCTCGGTGCCAAAGGCCCTTCCGGGAGTTCTTCCCCACCTGACACGACCCTGTGACACTCAGGTGAGGGCGCGTGGAGCTCATCGCCCCCTTTCACGAAGGTGGAAACCATGGCCCCGAGGCGGGAAGAGACCAGCATGAGGTCCGGTGGCTCGAGCCATGGCCGGGCCCCCTGCAGGTGGCGCAGCTCCGAGCCCCCAGTGCCCTCTGCTCCGAGGAGATGGCCGACGGCAGGGACAGCAAGATGGGCAGCAGGCCAGGCTCCGGGCGGTGGGGTCAGGCCTCCCCAGAGGGTCATTTCCCAGACACAGCAGCTGAGGGGCTAAGCCCCCGGGAGAGGAGCGGGAAGGGGCTTACCCTGCGAAGGGGTCAGTGACGGCCACACCTTGAGCTTCTCTGGCTGACTGAGCCAGGTCATGTGGTCCCCCGCACCCGCCCGCCTGGCCTCCTGACCCACACTGGGCCAACAGCAAGCTCAGCGCCATGGTCAGCCGGCCCGGTACCACCCACTGGCCACTTCCTCTGCAGCCCGCCACTCCCATGCCTGGGCAGCCCCAGCCGGGCGGCTGGGCCGGGTGTGGCCCCACCGCAGGGCTGACCCGGCACGTCCCACGCGGGCCTGGCTGCCATCCCCAGCATCCCCAGGGGAAGGAGAGTTGCCGTTTGGATGCAGACTCCGGCCGGCAGGAGTGCAGGGCGATGGGGAGAGGGGTGTCAGGGTCCCTGGGGACCAGCACAGGGCCTCACTTCACCTCTGAAACAGGGCGGGGGATTCAGGCCCCAGGGGGACCCCTTGCCCTCTCGTAGAAAAGACGCTCAGCCCCCATGACATGGGCTGGCCTCTGTTCTGGAGCCTTTGGCATGCCCGGGGGACCCTTCTGGGGTGCAAATGCCACCCAAATGCTTCCTTAATCCGCTGTCCCACTGGGGCACCTGCTTGCTTGCCCTCCCCCCGGGGAGGTGGTCCCACAGGCCAGCAATTTGGGGGCTGCACTGGGGAGGACTGGGCCCCAGACACCCACCCTCCCCAGCACAGGGGTCCAGCCCCACCCCCCATCCCCGCACAGCGGGCCTTCCAGGGGGTGGAAGGCCTTATGTGGCACCAGGGCGGGGGCCCCCCAAGGCCTTCGGGCAGCGGGTTTCATCAGAGCCTGAGTTGCACAGAGGGCAGGGGGTTGCTGCCGGCTCCCCTGACGTGGAGGGCGGCTCTTGTGTAAATTGAAAAGTCCCCCGTGCCCCGGGGGTCCCGCTCTCACACAACAGCAGCGGCTTCCCCTCCGAACCGCCCACACACTGCCCTGCGCGCACCCTCCCCACCCAGACATGGAGTGAGCCCGCAGCGGGGTTGGCAGGCAGGCAGCGCCCCCTCCTCCCGCTCCTGCCTGCCCCCCATTCCAGGGGCAGGGAGGACCCTAAATGTGGGAAGCAGGAGAGACCCCCGGCATTCAAATACTCTGTCTCCTGCCTTCTGTTCACCGTGCAGAGGTGGGAGCTGAGGCTGGAGAGAGAGCTGGCTCCCCCGGGGCCTGCAGCCGGTTCACACCTGGCACCCCGACCCCCAGCTTGCCAGGGCAGGTCCTGGGCCCCCATACCACCCCCTCAGTGGGGGCGCTGCCCATA